TCTCGCAAGAATGTGTTGCAGCCTTTGCTGACATTATTTTGTTAGCAATGGTTTTCTCTTTCTCCCTCCTCTCTCCACCCGCCCCCCCCCCACTTTGTACAGCGGCAAGCAAATAAATTGCCAGCTCGGCTGAGGCACCGGTTGTAACTGACCACAGCAGGGCTACAAAGACGCGGGTGCTTGGAATCGCTCGCCCGGGAGAATTTGGCTCGGAAGTTGGGTGCTGCGGAGGCAGCGGCTCGTCTGTCGGAGACACAGGAGCTGCGCTAGCGAAACCTTTTAACCTTTAGTAGCTAGAGCTGGAGTCTGCGGCTCCCGCTGTCTCGAGCACAGGCACAGCCCCAGATCCAAAGACCCGCGCAGGCCGATCCTATGCCTTCTCCCTCGGAAGTAGGTTCCCTCGAGCTTACTTGTTTGCCTTGGTTGGGGTGAGATGTCGCCTGGGGTTTCGGCTTGCAGTGGAGCAAGTTCCCTGCTTTTCTGTGGCGGCGAAGGCACAAACAATCCTTTGCCGCGGCGGCAGCCCAATCCAATACGTGGTTACTCGGAAGTAAGTTAAATGGGACTTATTTCCAGAGAAGTCTTGCGGTCTACGTTTGCGACCCCACGCGCAGTTAACGTGGGGGAAAGGCCCATTTAAGGACTCTTGTGCGTTTTGCTTCCGGCGGGTAATCTTGCATCGGGTTAGGCTGTTACAGTTTCTAAGGTGAAGCAAGACGCTTAGGCTGCCATCTCTGACACACTTTAGGAGTAAGACCCAATGGTTTAATAAAATTTAGGAGTTGGCAAGTAAGGAAATGCACCGCCAATTTCCTCCCTTCACACCCGCTTTAGTTTCCCTGCGCCTCTTTGGTATCCTAGTTTTTCAACTGTATTTTCGAGAGTTTTTTTTTAAAAAATATTTTTATAAAAACAGTAGTAATAAAAAAGGGGCGAAATGGAAAACAAAAAGAAACGGTCTTAAGTGGTTGCTTATGACACAGGCCTGTTTGTCAGTTGCCAGGGGTCTACGGAGGTACAACCACGAGATTTACTCCCTTTGCAAAGTTAACTGCATTTGCACACTGGAGCCAGCCAGCCTTCTTGACTTGAGCAGGGCCGGCTGCCATGTAAATGTGTTTAGGGTCAAGAGTTAATTTTCGCGGCTGTTGGTGCCTCCCAAAGCTGCACTCTTGGAGACCGCAGCTGAGACTCGGCCTGCACAGCTCCAGCCACCTGGTCTCCCCGTCATAATCGAGATGAATTGCACTGAACCTAAAGGCCAGCTACTCGAGAGGAGGAAAGCCGCAGGCTGGACCGGGGTCTCTTTCCCAAGTAAAAGGCTGTGTGTTTGTTCCGCGGTGAGGGTCGCCTGGGCTTTGAACAAGTAGTTGGTGGCAAATTGCCCGCTGGCCCAGAGAGACCAAAGCAGCTTCCTTCTCAGCTATTTGCCCAAAAGATCAGGACACCTAAGCAGCTGTTCCTCCGGCTGCTGAGGACTTTGGCATACAAGAGCTGTATTTTACGCAGCAGGGTTTTTTATTTTTAAGGATAGGCAAATAGTTCAATTGCTCAATGAGTACATATAGGGTGCCTAGGAGGACACGTGTGTGTGTGTGAGAGAGGGGGGGCACTCGCTGGGATCACCGTCGGGCAGGGACTACAGCTCCCATAATCCCTAGCCGCTGGATACAATGACTAGGGGTTGATGGGAATTGTAGTCCAAGAAAATATGGCAGGCCTCACTGAGGTTGCTCCTGTCATGCGGCATAAGATCTTCCATTTCCGTTTTTGGCTCGGGGCTTGGCCAAAACCATAGCGGAGTATCAGCAGCAGCAAGGACGTCCGGGAGCAATATCCAGTGGGTCTAGGTCGCTCTAACAGGGGGAATATTATATGCACTTGCCTTGAGAGCAAACCCTAACTGAACACAGGGATTTAGGACCGAGTCAACTTGGATATTGTCGAGCGGTTAGAGGGTGTGGGACGTGGGAATAAGAGCTGAGCGAGGCCCCCTTTCATCTGAACTGGGACAAGCCAGAAGGTGGTACCCAGGCAAGGTCATGGGTAGCCATGAGCTGCGCCTACACTAATGTGGACGCCCTGCTTCCTACCTTCATATGGGAGAGCTACATAGTCCTGCATTGGGGGTTGGACTAGATGACCCTCAGGTCCCTTCCAACTCTACACTTCTATGGTTCTACCCCTTTCTTCGCCCCGACAATCACCGACCCAGTAACCCCTATCTCTTCTACCGGGTGGAAGTTTCCCAGCATCAGAATAAGCCCCCGGGCGCTTTTTCTGGTAGCTCGTTCTTTCTCCAGACAGCTACGACTCGAGTATTTGGGCCTCAGCTGGTGCGGGGAACAGAAAACCGGCCTGCAAGTGCTCGCTTCAGGTAGCGGGCGCCGGGTGCGGCAGGCGCTGGAAAAAAGAGGATTTCAAACCACCACCCCTCCCTCCGCGTCCCTCTCGCTTGAGTGACACGGCGTCTCTTCGTGTCACTCAATGCAAATAATCGAACCCACGTCACTGTCCGGGGCCTGTAGCGTCTGGGGAGCTGATGAGAAGCGCTGGGGGGGGGGGGGGCGGCGACGGGGTGCGTCTCTTAAGGACCACGAGGGAAAGAAACTGTTAAAAGCAGGACGGCAAGAAAGCAACAGTCTCTGCTCTCTGCTCGGCGCCCCCCCCCCCCACCGACGCCCGCGCTTGCAAATGCAGCCAGCTGAGGAATTTCTCCTGCGGAACGAGAGGCATTAAAGCTTCTAAGAGCCACAATGAGCGAGACCCGGGCAAAGGCACGGGCGGGCGGGGGGCGCACTAAGCTACTGCAGCCGGACTGGAGGCAAGCAGAAGAGGACTCCAGCTCTGACCTGGCCCTTCGGGGAGAGGGCGACTTGGGGAGGAAATGAGAGAGAGAGAGAGAGAGAGAGAGAGAGAGAGAGAGACGCGTCAAAAAAGAGCAAAAAGAGGACGGGGGTGGCGCGCGGGGAGGCGGAGGAAAGCTTACTTTTTAAAAGACCCCATTTATTGCCCAAGGAGAGTTCGCGAGAGTGAGGGACCGGCTGATACAAATAGTTCCCTGGCCTGGGGGGAGGCGGGGGAGGGGAGAGGGGGGCTCCTTGTTTCGAGTAAACCAGCTGCAGGAGTGATGCTAGAGCAAGGAAGGGCAGACACAATGCTGCTGTTGTTGGTTTGATCTCTAACTGTGGATTGTTAGTCTGGATTTAACTATGTGGTGTGGGGAGGGAGGGAGAAAGGCGGAGGGGGGGCCCCGAAGGCTGTTTACAGCTAGTGCAAATAATGTGACAGCTGTTGGAGCGCGAGCAGCCAGCGCCTCTTCGGCTTTTACACAAAGCTCTCTCTATGGCGAGGGAGAGAGAACTAAAGGGGGCGGCGCGGCGACAGGGGACAACGGTTTCGCCCCGGGCCCTAGTAAAGAAAGTAGCGAGCATGCCCGAGGGAAAAACAAAACAAATATTAAACACAAGAAATCCACCCCAGCATCATCTTCCTCGTCGATTTCCTGGGATGGAGTTTTGAGGCCCGCCCTCCCCCTTTCTCCCCTCCCCCTTTGAATAGCTTGCGGCGCAGTCCCCAACCAAGCCTGTTTGTAAATTCCAGTCTTGCGGGGTGCAATGGCCCTTACTCCTTTGTAAGTGTGTCTGGTGGTTTTGCCGGAACCACAAGACTGAGCTGAAAGAACAACACCTCCCAGTGCTACTGGGAGGAATGAGCTTTTTGGGGCCAGTTAGAGGAGGGGGGACACGACCCTCACCTGCAACATTCATTTAGCACGCGTGTCCCCAACTGCATACTATTCCTCTGAAAGTAGGAAAAGGATGTATGCGCCCCCGCGAGGATGTTAGAGTTCCTTGTAAGCAGCTTAGCTGAGGGTTGATTCACACATGCACACACACTTCTGCCTATCTCATGCCTCCGATAAAATGTGTGAACCTGCGCCTTTGAAAAGCATCCATCGTGGAACCCCAAGGAAGTGCTGTGTGTCCTCTTCCTGCATTGCAGGGGGTTGGACTACACGGCCCTTGGGGTACCTTCCAATTCTAAAATTCCATGATTCTAATTGTGATGGCTGTCAACACTTGATACTGAGGTCATGTAGTTGAGAACACACACCTGTGAATTCACTCTTTTGAAAGATTTATTCACCTAAAAACAAACAACTGGCCTGCTCTTAGGCCAGACTAGATATTTGGTTCCCAAATCCCACCCGCACTGTGGACCTCTTGAAAATTGTTGATGGTCTTTACAGACCATTTAATGATATTCTGCCTTTTGTAGCCGTTGTATTGTGCCATGCTAGGAGCTGTATGATGTTTAATTGCCTTTTAATTGCTTCTTTTATTTCTTATACTGTATTTTATTATATTACAACTCACATTCCATAGAACTCAGATTGTAATACAATAAATCACAACATAAGAAATAAAAGAAGCAATAAAAAACATCAGTAAAAATCATTATGAATATTTAATGTGGGCATGCTGCAGCTCACCTGAATGAAACCTGCAGACCACACTTTGGGAACCCCTGGGCTAGATAATCCTGCATGGAGTACACAGTGTCCTGGAACATCTACCTGAAGCCAGGGAGGAACACTGTTCTTTAGGAAGTAAGGATTGCAGTCTCTTCCTGGTGTGGATGGCAGAAGCACATGGGAAGCTACCTTGTACTGAATACAGTGGTACCTTGGGTTACATACGCTTCAGGTTACAGACTCCGCTAACCCAGAAATATTACCTTGGGTTAACGAACTTTGCTTCAGGATGAGAACAGAAATCGTGCTGCGGCGGTGCGGCAGCAGCAGGAGGCCCCATTAGCTAAAGTGGTGCTTCAGGTTAAGAACAGTTTCAGGTTAAGAACGGACCATATTAAGTACGTAACCAGAGATAGCACTGTATGGCCATTGGGTAAATCTAGATCTGCACTGGCTACAGAGATTTGCAGCTGCTCTCTTTCAGTCAGGGATCTCCCAGTCCTACCTGGACATACCTGGGTATGCAAAGCATACATCTCATCACTAAACTATGGCCCTTCCCCAACCACATCCTTGGGAGTTGCTAGGATCTAAGTACCTGGCAGGGCTGATGCCTGCTCCTTGCACACACACACCCGGCCTTGCATTCAAAGCAGTGCCAGGGAGCTGGATCTAGCTATTCTTTTATGATAATAATTCCTACCTAGCATTGTTACAGGCAATTGTGGAAAATTAAGACAGAGGCTAGACACAGTGCTTCTCCTTGGAGCCTTGCCCACCACAGCCAGATAAATCCACATGGGCCCACTGACAGAAGAGGGGGCCTAACACATTCCACTTGCATCTAAGAAAAAATCTGAAGATGTACAATTTTGCAGGTGTTTTCAGGACCACAGATTCAGTTACTTTTGTACACACAATTTCCAGTCTACAAATGGCTTAGTTCAGGATTCTCTCCTTGAAGCCCATTGGGCTATTCTCCAGGATAATTGTCCTGAGGATACAGTTGATCCCTGTTTGTTTCACTACGTTTAAAAATGGCACATAATCTTTCATATTTGTGGGAATGTTAAGGAAGGTAGGAAAGGATATATTGTTTGAATATTATCCCTCCTCACTCACGCTAGCAAGTAAACAGCAGAGCACATTCCCTTTGCAACTTATTGGAAGCAGGTTGATGATTCGTTATAATCCTTTACTTAAGCAATCCAGCCTGGCTTGTCCAGTTTGGATTGTTCCTGGTAAGTTTCCCCTTTATTTCCCTCTTAAAATAAGAATAACACAACACAGTATTCTTTAAAAGTAAGAATAAACTTTTTACTCACATTCAGTTCACAGCAGTAATCTGAAGGCAGGTTTTATCTTGTGGCTACAGTGAAAAGAAGTCTGAGCTACATCTCAGACTTTCTGCTTTTGGGCTCCATCCTATTTGATGGTTGAGCGGTGCGCTGGATAAGAGCCAGGACAGCGAGGGTCCAAGAGAGCAAGAGGGAGATGGTTGCGTGGCTTGCCCTTTTATCTGGTCAGCTAGGGTCACACACACGGGGAAGAAGCTCCAGAGAAGGTATGACAGGAAGTCCTCCCTGTCTGGAGTCACATTCCGCTGTGTGTCCATTCTAGGCAACAAGAAAACTTTGTACTTGACTGCTCTAGTAATAATGCATCCCACAATATTTTTTCTCCCCCCCCCCATCTGTTATATTTTTTACCCTGTCCTCCTTCCAATAGGAGCCCATGGAGACACACACATAGTAAAGGAAGTGTTTTCGCTTTCTGCTCAGCACCCTCCCCCCACCTCCATATATTTTCTATATAAAAATACTCAAAACAGTTTAGGTTCACAACACAGCAGGCAAGGAATAACAGACTGCCAACCCTTGTCACCCAACTGTCAGCAAAATGATGCCAACATGGGAGACATATGCAACTTTACAGGGAGGGAGTGTTCCATAATCTGGGAGCCACCACAGAGAAGGCCCCTGTCCTTCAAGGATACTGGAAAGTTGTTCAAGACAGTCTAAATAGTTGAGTAATAAGTGCTTTTGTTAAACTTGTATGATTTATTACAAGTACTTGCCAAAGCACCTTCACTAACACCTGCCAACTTGTGCCTTAAGATCTCTGGGGGAGGCTCTGTTTGTCCTCCTGCCAGTGAGCATGGCATGTTTGGCACTTAGGCAGGATTCATTCTGTTGTGGAAATAGTTGTGCTCCACCTTCTAACACACAAATTGTGACTTGCAGTCTAGGTGTCTCAAACTGAATTCAGAGAGGGACATACTAGCAGGATTGGATGATCACTGATTTCTTGATATTTCTGCTGCAATACTCAAGCCATAGATTTTAGAGTAAGTTCATTTATACATGCATGATAACCATATTGGGTCATTCGGAAGAAATCCAGGTGTTAACATTCTGTGGATCTTAAGTTATATAGTGCCTTGGACACTCTATAATGGAAAGGCAGGATAGAAATGTTTTTTAAAATTCTAGAGGAAATGGTTTGAAGGCAGAACTGTTGGTAGTGACTTGTGTACTACTAATACCCCAATGCTTTCACATGTCTCCAGTGCATAGTCTGAGGACTGCCAATGCTCAGGAATTGTAGTAGCCAAACTCTCTTATCCAAAAGCCTCACTTTTCATTCCAGGCGCACTCTATGTATGCTAACTGTAGTCTCTAGCCAGCTTGCAGGTGCAAAGAAAAATGACTCTCACCAGATTCTGGCTCCAGATGTCAATGCAACTAGGTTTCTGCCCTGGAGAGTCCTATCTGAGTTTAAGCACTGAAGCTGTTTTTGTCCCACCCTGGGTAGGAACCAACCTATTCCAGTATCTCCTTGTGGAATAAGAGTTGGCATGCCTGGGACCTTCTCCTTTAGCAGCCGATACCAAGGCACAATTAGCAATGTCAGGCACAATTAGCAATGTCAATGCAATTTATATATGCAGGCACTGAAAGGGAAATTCCTGGTTCAAATGAAACCCTTCTCATAATTCGGGACTAAAACCAAGTATAAACTGCACAATTTTAGGCAGATCTCACATTTGATCTTTCCAAATGGGTTTATTAAGGGGAGAATTAAATTGTGGGAGGCAAGTGGGAAGTAAATTTTCACATTCTTTCAGGATTAAAGAGTATTTCACCTCGCACAAGACCAGCTCCAGTATGCAGTCACACCCCTTGCTAAATGAGTATGGCTTTGTTTGAAACCAGAACATAAAAAATACCAAGGAAAGCTCATCCAAGATGGGTGAGGTCTAGGGCTGTGATCCTAAGCTTACAAGTGAAATCCATGAATTTACTGTGTTCTAATCACTCTGAAATAATCAAACTGGTATTTAAAAAGTGATAGAGGAGTTCAAGATAGGCATACCTTTTGCACATAGCGGGAGAAAACTGCTTTTTACTGAAGACTGAGTCAAAACTGCCTGGCTTTCCTAGGAGAAGAAAGATAAGGTTTGGCGTGCATGTATGTGTGAGTGAGAGAAATAGAAGAACAGGGCTACACACAGTGTGTTTTGTGTGTTCTGATTTGCATGGTAATTCAAAACAGAGTTAGATTAGTTTGTAATGTGAGGAAATTTCCATTGTATTTATTGAACAAATCTGTTAACTTTCCATTGTTTTTAAATATTGTACGATCAAGTTCCGAAATAAACTGAATCTATTCTGAGAAAACTAGGCTGCTATTCTCACAATGTCTAAGTGTTAAAACGTGAAGCAAAACTACTTTTGCAGCAAAAGGAATCTATCTCATGATGCTTTGTTTGCAGGTTTTCTCCCTGCTTTTACATAAACAGTAATGTCAATGACTGAGGTACACCAATTTTGTTAGGGGCAACAACATCCTGTTTGTGTGATCCTGCTCCTGATTCTCTTGGTTGAGAGTCAGGTTTAATAAGAAATGAGTGCTGAATCAGGGGCGTGGCCCATGTGGTGCAGCATCCTTTTCTCAGACTGGTCCACCAGATATCTATGGGAAGCCTGAAAGCAGGCCATACGTTTAATAGCAGAAACTGATATACTGAGGCATACTGACCTCAAAAATGGTGCTTACACAATGCTTATTTCAGTGTGGCCAACATTTGCATAACAGTAAACAGAACAAAACCCTCAGCTGTATAGCATGAGAATCTTAATCTCAGGGTTGTGGGTTCAAGTCCCAGGTTCAGCAAAGGATTCCTGTCTTGCAGGGGGTTGGACTAGATGATCCTCGTGGTCCCTTCCAACTCTACAGTTCTGTGAAATTTAGCAATGTGCAATTCTAACCTTGTCTACTCTGCAGTAAATTCTATTGAATTTAATGGGGCTTACTTACAGGTAAATGTAGTTAGGGACTGTAGCCTGGATCATTGCTTTACTTGCATCACATTGACATGGTTCCTAGACTTTGCTTTGGCTCAGCGGGAGTGAAACCTGTTATCCAGAGTGGCTCTTTGATCACACATGCGCAAGAAACACTCTGCTTTGCCACAGCCTTCCTGTCCCCCTAGCAGAGTGAGGTAGCTTCACTCCTCTTCATAAACTTTTCAGATTAGGTGGGAATCATTCTGCTACAGAAATTTGACGCTTCCTTATGTAGGTAATGGAAGGAGCACTTCTTTGTATATCAACTATATCAATATAGCCAATTAATAGCCTATACAGCTTTCCCAGCTTGGAAAGTGCATCAGGGCCTTATTGCTAATGACCCAAAATGGCTAGAGACATGATGGCAAAGTGGGCTTTTAATGCTTTGGTGTAATATGTGAAGAATGCACCCAATTTCTCCTTGCATGGAATGCACGAACCCCCCCCCCATATGTTTCCTGTGCATCTCACTCGTGCAATTTCCTGTTTCACACATTAATCTGGAAGTACAAAAGTGTGTCTGAATTCCCACACTTCATAAAGTGAAGCTGAAGCAGTTTTCAATATGTTTTTCCCATCTCACTTGGGCCATTTGAGTGCATCTGGGAAAGACCTATAAGGGCACATGCACACAACATGAAATATAATTCTGAGTATTCTCTTGCACTACTGATATACACTATGGCTGCAAAAACACTTAAAGTGTGACAAAGAGAGAAAAAGAGCCATGTTTAAAATGAACAGGCATTGTAGCTTGTTTAGGTCTTATATTTGAATTAAAGATGTGGGAAAAACAAAAAAGAAAAGAAAACTTGTAACATATTGTGTGAAAATGTCCTAGTGTTTTCAAATTGATTGCGAGTATACAGGAAAGTAGATTTACACTTGGCAGTTAAATCTTTCAATGCTTTTTAAGGAACCTGTGATCCCAGTACGATTCACATCAATTGATTTCAATGGGATCTGTTTAATAAACTGGTTTAGTACCGAGATGATTAGTCTCGCTAAAGTGAGGGGTCAGCCTGTCTGAAATGCCCCCCCCCTTAACAGCTTGGAAATATGTCATTTTGATTTCAACGGAAAGCCATTAGTGATACAGCTCTAACCCTGCTTGGAAGCGGATGAGCTCCATTCAGCACTGTGGGACTTGCTTCGGAATTAACATGCATGCAGCGGGGAGGCAAGTCATATAAAACCTGGGAATAAGGATTATTCTATTTTGTTTTGGATTGTGGCGCCGATCGTCTTCAATCCGAGCACTTCTGGTTTGTGAAAAGAATTTCTGTTTTGGGCAATGCCGGCTTGTTTCAGGGCAACTGGCAACTGTACATCGAATTTCATTCCTCGTCACTCTCATGCGGCATATCTGTCACTCTCCAGTTTCTGTGCACGAGGCACTCTGGGTGGAAGATACCCCCAGCAGTCATTCATTAAGCGCCAGAGCAATAAATCGAGCTCTAACGTGACGTCTGCCATTTTCTGCAGGAATGTTGCTTGCGAAACTACTTTTGCCTTGGAGCAAAGGCGGAAAGATAAACACGGCTGCCTTGCCAAAACACTGGCAAATCTTTTCCTGCTTCCACAAATTTCTAAAAGTCACCCAGCATCTTTCTCTCCCCCCACCCCCCACCCCCGGATTAGACTGCTGCCTCTGAGCGGGGCGCGCGAGTGGTGGTGCTGTCGTTGGCTTTTTATTTTGGTCTTGGGGCGGGGGGGAGAGAGCTAATGCAAATGAGAGGAAAATAATTTTCTTTCAGCGATATGCAATGTATTAGTCACTTGTTATCGTGCTTGGAGGCAGACCTCATTTGCGCGTCTGCCAACTCGCTCACATCTGCTCAGAGCTGTTCCGGGCATTTTAACCTTGGCGGTGTCGTGTCCTAGTCCCACGGATCAAGAGCCAGTAATTAAGGCTCGAAGCAGCAGCAAAAATTCATAGCCGCCCATCTGCAGCGCAGTTGCTTCCGCGCTCAGCCCCCCTCACCTCCCTCGCGTTTCGGAGCCGACGACTTCAAGATGGCAAGGCAGGCTGCGCCGGGGTCCTTAAGTCTTCCGAGGAAGGCCGAGGGGGCGCGCAGCTTCGCAGCCAGAGGAGCAATCCCAGCTGCGCCGTGAAACTTTGTCCGCGAGGCCCTGCTCTGTGCTCCCTCGGCCGGTTCTTGCCCTGCGCATTGCTGGGATATTAAAACCGGAGGATTCCTCTAGATCGCTGCTTGCTGCTTGAGGACACGTACGATGCTTTTAGTAAAGGCGGAATAGATTCTGCTGAAGATGCCTCTGGGAGACTGGAGGGTTTTTCCTTAGGGTGCTAGGCGATGTACAGTTAGAATTGAGGAACACTTCCTATCCCCACCAGCGGCCCTGTTTGGACTTGGGGAGTCCCTGGCTGAGTGGTAGAGCGTCTGCCTTGCACGCAGACAATCCCTGCTTCAATCCCTGGCGTCTCCAGGTAGGCCTTCCTGAAACCCTGGAGAGCTGCTGCCGGTCAGTGTAGACAATATGAGCAAGATAGGCCCATGGTCTGGTTCATGATAAGCCTTTGTTCCTATGAGTGATGCCCAAGCCCTAGTCGTCTTCGCAAAAATTGTCTTTCGGCTCCATCCTATGTATGTTTACCTGGAAGCAGGTGTCGCTGTGTATTCTGTGTAAAGGCTCCTCTCGGTGAGCCTTGGACCGCCTGCAATCCTGTGCTCATTTGCTTTACGATGGAACCCACCCCGGGGGTGCAGGAATGCACTTTAGGGGGGCTAAAAAAAGTTAAAGGAGCGGAAAGCACTTGGGATGGGACAGTTAGCTAGAAATGCTAATGTAGGGAAACCTGGATTGGAGAACATGATTCGTGGAAGAAACCCTCCTGCAACTGATAGGCAGGTTTAGGGACTGGGCCCAGATTTCACATTTAAGGCGGCAATCCTATGCGCGCTCACCTGTGAGTAAGCCCCATTCAGCTCAACGAGGTTTACTTCTGAGTAGATATAAAAAGGGTCGCAGGGCAATTGTGAAGTCATCCTGGATCAAGCGGCTTGCAGATGGTTGCCACACAGCTCCTTTTCTGACATTTATGTCTGCTGCGCTCATCTTTATTTTAAAAGGCACGTTTAATGTACATTTTCCAGAAAGCGCTGGCACCAAAACTCCTTACTGGTAGGAGTTGTACAGACGAAGTGTGACGGTGCTGGTGGTTTGGATTTTCGCTTCTTCTTCGCAGGAAGAGATGGCTAAGGACGCAAGCCAACGGGAAGGTCTCCTGCGCAAGCCCGGCTGACAGAGCTGCGCAGGGAGCGGCTGCTGTTCTTTAGCAATTAATTTCAACCGGGGCTTGTGAGCGCTGGATTGCGCCTTAAGCTGCTTTGCTATGGCGTCATTTCATTGAAAGGAGAGCGAGGTTGCTCCTGAGTTAAGTTTGCGGGGGACGAGTTCGCCACCTCGGCGTGGGGACTTTGACTGAGCGAGCGCTTAGGCGACGAGGATTGCAACCCCCCGCCCTGTTAAAAGCTCTCCATTCGCGAGCGCTTAACTCGCGGACCAATCTGCTGGCGGGCGAAGAGGAGGAGGAGGAGGCGGCGGCGGCGGTGGAGGCGTAGGGGCCGACGACGCAGGCAAAAGCAGGCAGACGGTCCTGCGGGGGGAGCGGGAGGATTTAAGGCTACTTAAGCTCGCCCGAGCGCTCGACAGCGAACCAACCAAGCTGCATCTCTAGCTGCCGGCGCGCCGGCCATTTGCTGAATAATGAGAAGCTGCTGCTTCCCCTCCCGAGGGACTCGCCTTCACACAGGCTCCTCTCGGAGGTGGCTGCTCGCCCCCACCCCCCTGTGTGTGTGTGTCTGCCGGGAGGGAGAGCGGGGAGTGGGAGGCGCTGCGCTCCCAATCAATCAGACCCTCGATGCTGTTGCTCCGTAAATGAGGAAACCACAGGCACTGTCAGCCACAATTAAGCAAAATCAACTCGCCCGTGATCAATATCTGCTCGTTTCCCCGGTGAATACGGGGGCCGACGCCGACCTCCTTTGGGCTCTCGCAGCGCGGCCGCCGGGCCGAAAAAGCCACAAAGGGCAGCGCCGACCCAAGCGGGGCAGGCAATGGGAAAGAGAAAGGGCGGGGGGCGCATTCATCACGAAGGGGGTGGGGAGAAACTCGGCTGTGGGTGTGCGCCTCCCCGGTGCACGCGCGCTGCTGTAGACCGTGGGGCTTAAAAAGCAAGAGGGTGTGGAGCAAGCGGGTTTACCATTTCATCCCGGTCTTCACAGCAACCGACCTTGGGTCTGGGCTGGTTTTTTATGTGTACTAGTCACGCACATAGCTCGATACTTGTGCTGGTTTTCCTTCTTAAACTTTCCTATTAACAAACACGGTTTTGGTTTTTTAAAAAAATAATTTCTTTCAGCCTATTCCCCCTCTAACCTGGATTCTTAGCACACCCTTGTGAGACCAAAACTGGTCTGGGAGGAACCTCTTCCTTCTGTCTTTGCAAGCCAGCCAGCTTGCCTGCTGTCCGGGCTGGGGGGCGTGCGAGGGGTTAATGGGCCGCAGGCGCCGACGGGGCCTTGCCTGCGTTTTCCCCCGCTCTCGCTTGGCTGATACCCAGGGAGGCGGCGTCCGCTTAGGTACCTGAAAGACCCATTGAGTGCCAAGCGGGTAGGCTCCAAGGAGGCCCTTCTCCTTTCCTCTGGCCCGTTGCTGCTGCTGCCGCCGCCGCCGCCCCTCCTCCGCCTCTGTCACCGCCTGCTTGTTGTCTCTCCAAGCAGCAGCAGCAGCGGAAACCGAGCCCGTGTCTGTGCGCGCGCCTAAAATGGCGCTGCCGGTCGGGGATCTCAAAGACGAAACGGGCTGGGATGACTCATTCAGTCTGGCTGAAAGAGCGAAGGAGAGTTGCAGGAGGCGGCAGCGCGAGGAGGTGCCTGCGCTCCGTACAGGCCAGGCGAGCGCCCTTCGCCGCGGTGCTGCCGAGCCTATAATCCTCTCCGAAGGGTGGAGGAGGGGACCCCGCGGGACGGGGTGAGACCCCCACATCGGCGCCCGAGGCGAAGGTGCTTTTCGCCGTGTACGTAGTGCGGGAACTGGGCCTTAATGGCACAAGTCAATTCGGGGACTTTCTCGGATCAAACGGCGGGTGGGGGGCGGGGGAGAGAGACGCGAGGTCGCGAGAGAAATACTTCTCTCCCCTTCATTCTGTTTCGCTGCCTTCGTTTCTGCTTCCTGCAACGTCCCGTGTGCCTGGGCTATTTCACGAGGGACCAGATTATTAAGGCGCACGACGACCCCCCAATACCCCCCCCCGCGTGGCCGCTCCACCTCCCCCCCCTCCGAGTTCATCTGGGTGGAACAAACGGGCCCCACAGCTTCCCCCGGGTCTCGTACTAGGAGAAGCGGGGGCGCTATTTCTCCACCGCGCAGAAAACGTTGGCAAGAGACGACGTGTGTGAGAGAGAGTGAGAGAGAGACAGAGACGGCGGGCAGGGTTATTTGAAGGCTCGCCAGCCATTTTACCTTTCCCTTATTGACGGCCTTCCGTCCTCCTCCTCTCCCTGCCCCTCCCCCTCCCCGAACATCACTTATTCACAAGTTTTCCTGGCAAATGGCGGTAAAGAGTCGAAGTCACTGCGCTTTGCTTCGCGGTTGATGTGCCAAGGAGGCTGCTGCGGTCCTTGCGCACGGCGGTGGAGGAAACGACGGGCTGCTGCCAGAGGTGTTTGGATGCGCTGCCGGTCTGTGCACCGACCCCTTTGAATCCCGATCTTCCAGGGAAACGAAGGCAAAGGCTGTCTGAAGCCACTCTCTCCCTTCGAAGCAGGGTCTCCCTGGCAAACGGCAGGAAAGTCCTTTCCTTTCTTGCGGCTACACAGCAGTTGGCTGGGGTTGTGGAGTCCTCGTTTCCCCTCTTCCTCCTGCTCTCAACATCTCACCCCTCACTTTTGCAATGCACACGGCTCCTTTCCCCGAGGCTTGGAGCTCCTGTTCCTTACAAAAGCCAAGGGAAAACAGGAGATGGGGAAAGATCGTTCTCTCTCTCCTTCCCGTCCCGTTTTATCTGAGTCTCGAGTCCGGAATCCCCCATTCCGGATGCCGTTGCCTGTGCCCAGTCGATCGCGGCCGCCCCGTAATGCCTACACAGCGCTTTGTTTACATGAGAAGAAAGTCCGGATCGCGAAGGCGCACGTGACGGCGCAGGAAGCCTCCCGAGGAACGTGGCGCAGACAGAAGAAAGAGGAAGTTTAAAAGCCCCTGAAATAGCCACCCAACCGGTTCTTCTCTTTTTCCGCGCGGTGCTTGGGCAAACTTGGGCATCGTTCTGCGCGCCTCCCTTACGCACATGAGAAAATCGGGTTGGAGACGTCGCAGGCACATTGTGCTTAGCTTTGTGGCCAGATAAAATGCCACACGTCCCGGCTAAAGGTCAGCCGCCTTCCTCCCAGCCGTGGATACTTAGTTTGCTGTTTCCTACTTTGCTTAACAAACGTGCTTCAAGCTCTCGTACAACGTAGCTCCCCGCCACCTCTGCGCAACGGCGTGTTCAAATTTATGCCACCGTATTTTGCACGACCCAGTGCATGCTTATTCATAAGTTTTTCTGTGTTCAAGGGGGCTTACTCCGAGGCAAGTGTGCACAAGACTGCAGCCTTGTTTAAAATAGCAAACTGCACTAATATCTTAAGGTTACAGTTGTAATACCGTGGGGCGAGGCCCGTTTAACACAGCGGGGCTTGGTTCAGACATAAGATAGGAAGGGCTGGGCCAATTCGAAATTGTAAATGGAAGAAAAGGTGGTTTGACTTAAACGGAAGCCGGGACAGTGTAGTGCTTAGTGCAGACCAAGATGCTCCCTGAGTGACCTTGTCTCGCTCTGTCCTTTCCTTTGATCTTACCTCGCGCGATTGATGTGCGGCTAAAATTGGGGAACGTTTGGCACCTTGACCTCCTTGGAAGAGATATATAAATGCAATAAATACATTTCCAGTAATGCAGAGCCAGAAAGCGTGTAGTTGCCCCCGAGTTCAGGCTTGAGTACATGTGCAGGCTCATGAATAGGCTAAGTGTACGTCGCGCCATTATTAAAATATAGGAGAAAAGGCTGCCTCCCCATCAGATGCTCTGCAGCTTGTTTAGGGGAGACCTGAAACGGGCAGGAAGCTAGAGATGGGCGAACTATGTATGGTCTTGTTTTGATTACAGAGGAGGGCCTTCTCTGATTAACGCGAAAGCCCCGCTGGGTTAGCGCCATTCCCCCCTGACATTCGCCATCCCCGTCCGCTTGCTCTACGGCTCTGACCCGCCTGCCGTGCAGCTGACCGCGGGCCTGCGGTTTATGCAGTGGAAAGTGGCCGGCTGCCAAAAGGAGCAGGAGGTGGAAAGAGGAAAGGCGCCAACAGGGAACTCGTGTGCGCTCGCGGCATTCGCTCTCCTTCCTGGCTCGCTGGAGCCCGGCTGGGGCTTACTCTCTGGTTATTTTTCCTCCTTGCACCCTTTTTCGTGCCCTGGTTGGCAAGAAAGGCGCCTTCGCCACCTTGAATGGCGGGAAAGAGAGGCCGCCAACGCGCTCGGCATGGTTTCTCCGGACCCTCCTTCCCGGGGAGGCGAAGCGCAAAGCGTTGCGGCTGCTTCCCCTGGCCGCGGGCACCAGGTTTGTTGAGTTTGCGAAGGCAGGAGCGTGCGAGCAAAAGTTTGCTCCTGCGCCCGCCTCCCGTGGCTGCCAAGAGTCTGTTGCCGTTGCGAGGGCGATGCAAGTGGTTCCCTTTTTGAAAAGAGAGAGAACGAGAACGGGGAGGGCAGAGGAGAATCCAACAGCCAAGCAGGGCGCTGCGTGAATGCATTTGCCTCCCACCCAATGATGTGGAGTTGCGGCGGCTGCCAGTGGTGCCCGGAGAACTGGGTGTTCAGCCAGACACGCCGAGCGCCGGGGCCGCTTTTTTCTTTTCCTTTCGAGTCTGCTCTGTAACATGAGCGCAGCAGCTTGAGGGGGGGGGGGGGAGAGAGAGAGAGAGAGAGAGAGAGAGAGAGAAGAGGCTCCACTCGGCAGCGGACACCGAGCAGGTTTTGCAGCGAAACCCCGCCGTGCAGCTCCCCCCTTTTCCTCCCAGGCGAGCTTGACGGATTTGTCAGCCGGACACCTCCGGGGAGGAAATTCCGCGTGGCCTCTTTGGCGCTCGGAGCCTGCCTGCTGCTGCTGCTGCTGCCTTAGGCCACATTCTCGCGCAGCCAGCGAGCTCGCCTCGCTCGGCAGGAGGCGCGGCGCGATCCCCACCCCGGGGAGGAGGTTTTGCTTTCCGTCGCGGGCTGGTACGGTCGGAAGCTGCCGCAGCTATGGCAGCTTCTAGCAACTCTGGCCGAGGTGCTGGGCATGTGCTAGCAGCATATAAACGAGGTGGAGGAGGTGTGCTCTCCAAAGTAGCATGCGGGAGGGGGAGGCATCGAGGAGAGCTTTTTAATCAAGTTTTTTTTTTGGGGGGGGGAATCGTGACATATGTGCGGTTCTGTTATTTTCTGTTGTCTCCTGCCTTACGTCCCCTCCGCCCCCCTTCTATGTATAAAGCAAAAGAGTGTTACCTAACGGGGAGATTCCCGAAGGTAGAAGGAGACTTGCGGGGACTCGGAAAAGCAAAGTGCCAAGCCCTGAATCGCTCCACGGAGGCGGAGAAACAACCAGGGAGGTGGTTTATTTAATTTTCAGGACGAATTAGATAAAACTGCGGTCTTTAGTCCAACTCTCTAGTGTAGCCGGAATCTCAGCTAAAGCATACACACCAATTCAACGTACTGATTTTTTTGGGGATGGGGTGGGAAATAATCGCAATAAACACTAACAAACTTTAGCAGCCACGGCCTACCCGCCCTCGTTATGCCCAAACCCCACTTATTTTTGACAGTGTCTCTAAGCGTGACTTTCTCAGACGCTTGTGCATTTTAATTTACACTATGCATTATATATGTGGCCTTTTATTAGCATGTCAAGGCAGGCGATTAATACCTAGAGCTAACAAGTAGTCCTGAACAGCCCCGATTCTGCGTGCACTTTCTGGGGACTAGGCCTCGCAAAATACAAGCGGGACTTGGGTCTGTCTTTATTTCGGTGGGGGGGGGGCACTCCTTTTCAGCCTGAGGGTCCCACCTGAAGGAGCCTTCCGGGGCCGGCGGTGGGCGAGGCCAAAGGCGGCGGTGGCTCCATGGATGTTACGGTAGCCTACATTCTAACCGCGCAAGAGTCAAAAGGTTTCTGTGTTCTATTTCTCTATAAAGTGCGTCAAGGCAAGCGAAGAGGCATTATCTTCGGTCAAGGACACATTCAACCCAGACAAAAGCGCTCCGAAGGGTTTGTGGGGGCAGGGCCAGTGGGGTGCGGCCTAAGGAGAGTGGGCTTCCGGTCCCCCATCCTTGTTTTACTGGACCTCTTGGGATTTACCTTCAGGTAAGAGGGTAAAGGAAGGTTTGGGTAGTTACAGGGTAAACCAGTGCATGTCTACTCTAGTCCCAATGCGTTAACTGGGGATTACTCCCGGGTAAACGAGTAGTGGGTAGGATTGCAGCCTTGAGCGCATTTCTTTGATTTCACAGGGACTTGCGGGTAAAGCCTGCTCTGGACCGTAGATCCAAATGCTCGGACTTAACTCAGCTGTGGATCCATTGCTCCGTAAGCGGAGTGGTTGCTTATATGTAACCTTCCAGGCTCACAGCCACAAAGCAGAAAGAGCTGCTGCTTTGCCAGCAACGTCTCCTCCTGGAGCCCGAAGGGTTAAAAGTCTGTTGCTTGTTGCAATGAAATTATGGCTGGCAGTGGCGCCGCTGTTTGTTCAACAGACCTCCACTTTTAAACAGTTCACAAAAAGTTCATCAGGGCGGCGGTGATTATAAACAACGTATGTATGCGCTGGGAAGCGCGACCCTGAAAACGAGCAGAAACGAGCAAACATCTCGCCTCGCCCACCTCCCGGGAAGGGATCGCGCGCGCTCGGTTGTACTTTTTGTACAGAACCGGCTCAGGCGCTGCGCGCTCCCGGCTGCTGCAACTCTTCTCCCGGCCTCCGAAAAGGCCTTTCTCTCCCAGCCCGCGGATCCCGCCTCCCTTTCGCCTCGTGTCGCTGGGATGGAGCGGCGACGCTCCAAAGGGGAATTTGGCAAAAGCTCCGCGGCAGACCTTAAGCAATCCCTGCCTCGCTCTGGGCCCCTTCTGTGCAAACACCTTTGCCCGGGGCGAGTTTCGCGGCGTGGACTAGCAAAGAGAGATGGTTGTCTTGCAGCAAAAGGCAACATAGTTTTCTTTTTCTCCTTGTTTTGTTGTTTTATTTTTAAATACGCACTGTAGCGTTTTGGGAGCTATCATAATCTGGGCCGATTATTTGGCAATTTGCCTTTGACCTTCCTCTCTTCCCAGTTTAGGAAACCTTTGCATTCAGGGCGTAGCTTCGCTTGCATATCTGCCTTTGGAAGCCATCGGCTCCCCCTCCCCACACAGCACCCCAAGTATCTGGTGTCGACTCAGATCGCGCTCTTGGGCTCGACTTTTGCAGATCTCAGGAGCACCAGCCGATTGCAACCAACGATACATTTCCCCGCGAGGAAACCCAGAGCCTTAGCTCAGTTCCAGCCTATAAAAAGCAAGATTAGGCTCCCGGGCATGTCTCCTGCTTTTCAGAAAAGGGGTGGGGGAAAGGGGAGAGGGAGCGGCGTCCCCTCCCTCCGTGCAGACAGCCCTATCTCTTTGGACTTTGTGTCCCCTCCATTCCTTACAGATGAGGCAGCGCTCTGGGCGGCTACTAACCGTATGTAAAACTCTCAATCACTCTCCAGGCTGCGGCTGCTCCATTTGAAAACATTACGAGCCGTGCATCTGGAAAACACTAAATCTGGTCAGCAAAACCCGTCTTTCCCCTGGAACAACAACTTTTGAATGATAGGGCGATATTTCGTCCTAGCCTTTACTGGGGCGGTGGGGGGGGGGGTGCGAGGAGAAGGAAGGAGAGGAGAAGGGGCCAGCTCCTCTTCCTTGACAGCAATTGGAGTCAGCTCTTGCAAGCTAGCTGCCTGCGCAGGGAGGGAGGGAGGGAGGGGACGGTGCCATTTCAGTAAAATATGTTCCGTGCGTGGGGATCTGCACAAAAGGCTTCTTCAAGGAGCTGGGAGGGGTAACAAGAAGGGCTCATGAAATGCTTGAGAGAACACAGGGCTTTCCTTGGCGCTTATACGGAGGTCCTCCTCTGATCGTGGTTGGAGCATTTGTGCGCAAACGCAACCTAGGTTTTGCCTCCGCTCTGGTTTTAAGGGTTAATTCGTCTGTTTTGGAGCACGGGGGCTTTTAAACTGCGGTGCGTGCGTGCGTGGCGCTCTCCACTGGCCTCTGCGTGGATAGGTCCGACCAGACCCCTGGGCTCCTCCACCGTTTACTCTCGGGTAATCCCACTGGGCTTGGTTGAGCCACAGGGGTTGAAGGGCTGCAGCCCGATCCTAATCGCATACTTATATTGGATAGTGAGTTAGTTTCAGTGGTGCTGTATCCCCAAGTTATTAACCGTGTGTAGGATGGCCCCTTATTAGGAATACAAAGGTTAAGGGCTCCATCCGTTCCGCGCGATCCTAAACGCGTTTAGCTTAGAAATGGGTCCCGATTTGTGCAGAGCGACTTCCTCGGTGGTAGCTACGTTAAGGATTGCGCCCTAGTACGTCTCCGTTTAAAAAACTGAAAAAGCCCGGGAAGCCTCCCTTCTCTGCAGAAAAGCAATTTAGCGCAGCGCGTCCCGCGTTCGCCGTTCCTCCCCTTGGCGAGGCATTTTGTGCCTGCGCGCACTTTCCCCTCCCCTCCCTCCTTTTTGGTGAGAGGAAGAGCTGAAGGGGTATCCTGTGCATTAAAGGCTCCCCCTACTTATTAACCCAGCATTTAACAGCGGGATGCGGGCTGAAGCTCAGTCAAAAGAAACGACTGAACCTCCAAAGAGCAATTAAAATCCGGCACTGGAATAAATCACGCGCCGCGATAATCGTGTTAATAAAACGCAGCTTGTCCTGACACTTCACTCATGCAGCAAACTAGAATTTAATGCGGGCGGAGATGGCGCGTTCGGGAGGGAAGAAAGGCAGGCGAGGCCCTTCTGTTGCTGGACGCGAAAATCCGGTTGCCTTTCACCTGCCTTCCCTGCTGCACGCAGCGCCGATCCTTTCGGACTGCTAATGCTTCTCCAGTGAGCCCGCTAATGATTTCTTTCCCTGGAGTGAGCAGGCGTCATTGAATTACTGAAAGCACTCAAAGCAGCAGCGGCGGCGGCGCAACAACAGCAGCTCCAATGGTGGAAGCCACCAGGGTTGGGTTACTTAATCAAATCAAGGGCTGGGGATCTCACCAACCAACTTAATGGTTTTTTTCCCCTCCCCTTAACCCTTTTCTGGGCTGGGAGACGAACTTCTAGGAAAATGGTTGCCCTATTAAAAATAGGAGCTCTTGTTTGTCTCTGGCATTCTACTTCAGCTTGTTTTCAGAGATAGAAACGCTAGAAACTTCATTTGAAGTGGAAACTGACATTTGACACCTTGCTTTTTTGCTTTTTTAAAAAAGTGAATGTTAGGATATCACTCTGTGCCTTCAGTCTGGCCCTGTTCCCACTCCCAGGCAGTGTTTTCATATTTGGATTTCCTTCTTGCTAAAGTTATCTCTTCAAACACAACCTAGTTCTTTTGTGCACTGGGTAAGATCCCGCCAATGTTGAGCCCTGCTTTGTGAATAAATGAAAACCTGCGGGAATTTGTCCTGCTTAATTTTGGTTGGATCTTCCCTATTATTTGGATTTAAAGTTTCACTGAAAGTTACTTCAACATAATGGGGACAATCAGGCTAAAAAGTACATTTAGTGACACTAGGTACCATTGATTTCAGAGGGATGGGGGTGTCACAATTGCCGCTGGATCACATACGCACTGGTGGTGCTACACGTGGAAAAGAAAATCCACTGAAAAGAAAATGATACATTGCTGCTTACGAAGGGTTAAACACACACAGACAGAATCATGCCGCCAAAGTCGAGTACTCTTACATCCTGTAGAAGTTACACAGATGCCCAACACTCCCAGTGAATTTATTTATTTATTGCATTTATTTCCTACCTTTTTCCCCAAGGAGCTCAAGGTGGTATATACATGGTTCTCTTTCTTCTCATTTAATCCGCACAACAACCCTGTGAGATAGGTTAGGGTGAGATAAGAAAGTGAGTGCCCAAGGTCACTTAGTGAGCTTCATGGCCAAGTGGGGATTGGAACCTAGGTTTCCCACTCAGACAATCTCACCACAACAATGCACTAGACTGTGAAATCAATAGGATGCAAAAGCATTTACTTTTGGGTGGGTTTTTGCTGGTCCTGTTTCCTTACTAAGTTTTATGGGTATATTGTTGTGTGTGTGCTTTTGTTTTTGCAAAAGTCTCTTATTTTTTGTATGCCACCTTAAGCAATTTTAATCAGTAGTGTGGTAACTAAATGCTATAATGTCCCAGTTGGTTTTCATTTGCTTGTCTGTGTGCACCATGAATTCCTGAGATGTAATTCATTTGAGTATCAAGCAAATATCTCTGGCTTCATTACAAGTAAGGTGTGCTTTGCTGATGGGCGTGCAATTGTTTTTATTTCAAATTAAACTCAATGGGAGTAACATTCTTCCCCTGTCCCGCACAACGTTAGATTTATAGCTTATCTGACCAGTGCATTCCCTCAACTTCCTGCTTTTTGTTACATATGTTTTAACTCTGGCTGCTCACGACCTTGTACCAAGCCTATATTCCTTGTTAATTATCTCGAGGGAGACCGGTGATTCCACTATGATGTCTGCCCTTCCTCCGCGGTCAATCTTCTCAACTTCTTTTTTTTCTTTCCCACCAATTAGATTATACACACGTGTGAAGAAAAGCCTCTGTTTTAAGGTGAAGTCATGCTTTCTGCAACTCCCCTGTATGGCAACGTTCATAGCTGGATGAGCAATGAGAGAGTCCGCATGTGTGGGATTAACGAAGAGAGGTAAATATTTTAAGTTTCAGGAAAGTTAAACCACGCGGTGTTTCTGGAGAAGGGGGCTTCAGCGTTAGTTTGTTAGCTTTCTTTTAATAGCTTGCATGGAGATAACTCATGGAGGGCGCTTTTATGAGACAAGAGTTGGAGAAGAGAGATGTTATGGGCGCAGACTCTCCCTTCGTGTACTGTTTTAACAATCAGTGTTGCTCAGGAAACCAGAAGGGGGCTTATAAAAGATTAGCTCCCAAAGTCACCTCTTCCTCACATATATTACATACATTCTCTCCCAATCTTCAGTGTATTTACTGGAAAGCAAACGCCTGTGATTTTTAATGAAACTTATTTCATGGCATGCGTGCTTAAGGTTGTCCCTGTAAGTTAATTATTTTATTATTTTTAGTTTATTATTTTTATTTGTGAAAAAGACAAGAACAACATGGATTCAGGTTTTTAATTTTAATTGGTCCGCATTACGTGGCCTGCAACTTAAGATAATTTGCCCAGCAATTAGATATTTCTATAACTTTCCATAAACTAGCACAAAGGTCAGAGTTTGGCCCCAGTTCAGAAACCATTCGTCATTCTTCATTGAAATGAATGGGGCAAGTTAGTCATGATTAATCTAAGCCACATTCGCTGCAACGAGACTGAAGCAGGGCTAACTTTCTCTGGATTGGGGCCTTGTAAAAGCACACCAAATACAGTTTTTTAAAGAGACTTTACAAAATAGTGGACAATGCTATAATTCTTTACTTCTAATTATTAAAATGAAGCAAGCACACTGCTTGTGTTTGCAAGTACTTTTGGTCAGAGTTGTGCGCTATAGAAAATAAAATCAGGACACCATCGGGTCATTTAATAACTTTCTCAGATAGTTTGAAAACAGCACACGAAAATTATGAGTTCCGAGACACTGAGGGGGAATGCCATGGCTGTGTATATTGTTATCAAATGTCAAAGGAAGGAGGTGCACATGAGCAAAATGCTATTGTTCTGTTTCTATCCAATTGCATCCTGTGGCTATTCCAGTAGGTGTGGGTTGTAACAATAATAGCTGGAAACAGGGCAAAAATGTGGGTGTTGCTTTTACTTTAAAAATTGATAGTGCCACCACTTTAAATATCCTTCTGGGTAATGATGAAACTTCCCTTCTGCTGTATGTCAGCAATTGTGTCCCTGGGATTTGAAAGTTGGCACTGAGGTGCGTTCTTTTATCTGTGTTTTCTGTGATAACAAGTCCCTGAGCTGCTACGCTGCTAACACACAGATGTATGGTTCCTTCTTCAGCACTGAACAGCTGACATTTGTATGATCTTAGAAGTGTGTGGGTTTTTCCTGTCTCTGTATATGTGTGTGTATGTACATATATATATATGTATGTATATAAACGAAAATATACAGGGTTGTTTGTTTCTAAATAAATAAATAAATAAATAAATAAATAAATAAAGCGTATTTACCACCACGTATTGCTTTAGCAGAACTCCTTAACTGGAAATAAAGTCAAAAAACATTTTTTCATCCCTGAACTCTATAGAGAGAGAAAAAGCCCAATTAGAGGGCAAATCTGTTAATTTTCTTCTGCACTGATGTATTGATAAAGGTAATTTAATAGAAACACTGCAGTCAGATCAAAATGTCAAACCATTAACGTTGTGTCTGTAAGTCACTTTTTAAAAATATCTCTTGAAAATAGGAAAATCCCAGTTAATGATGGAGATGCTTCGAAAAGCAGGTTGGAATTAAGGGAAGAAAATCACCTGAACCACAGTGTGGTAAGAAACCGATAGTTCCATTTGACGACAAAAGGTTTTTCACTGGATTTTTGTGCTATGGCTTCAGTTTCAAATACCTATTTGGGACTAATGAAAGTTGCTGTTAAACCAGAGGTGGCATTCAAATATCGGGTTACGGTTGCATCCTTTTGTATATATTTCTAGTATCTGAGTCTTAAGCATTTTTTTACTTCGTCATATGCTTAATAGCACATCATGAACACTCTAAGTCATGATTGCTCTAAATAACATTGCTTGGCATATTTCAGTTAGCCTTTTGAGAATTTCAGTGACTGACAGCTGGTAGCCTTGGGTGGACAGAATGGGGTGTGTGAGCCTTTGCTATAGTTTCAGTGTCTAGAGAGGAACCACCTAAAGATGATCCTAAAGATGTCACAGGCTTCTTGAAAGAATGGTGGGATATAAATATAAGAAAATTGGAAGAACTAGAACTAGTACAATCTGCAGTTTAGGGCTGGCTGAGTGTTAGGAATGAGATTGGAGCGAAAGTGCCCCAGGGCCAATGCTTTTATTCTAGAAAAAAAGGGTGTTGGGGCTGCGTACCCCTGAGTACCCCCGGGAAAAAGCACTGCTGTTTTTTCTTGGGGCTTAGAAGGACTGTGGAGGCAAGGCCTTTGCCTGCTTTCACTGTAGTGTGTTTTGCTTCTTAGAATTGGGAGGCCTACTTTCTCTCATCTTGTGTAGGAGCAAACATTTGGAACAGAGGAGAGACCAGTGTTTCTGTTTCTTCTTCTTCTTCCTCCTCCTCCTATCCCCCTTCTTCTTCTTCTTCTTCTTCTTCTTCTTCTTCTTCTTCTTCTTCTTCTTCTTCTTCTTCTTCCAACTTATACACCACCCTATACCCAGAGGTCTCCTGTCATACAACTACATGACGCGATCTTGCTTTCTCCTTTCCCGCAAGCTCCTCTTTGTTCATATGAGGATGCTGGGAAAGGCAGTAGTTTAGCTCCTCTGCTGGCCTGTGAAAGTTATTAACGCACAATGCTATATTTGTCTACTTGGAAGTCAGCCCCATTGAGTTCAGTGGGACTTTCTCCCAGGTAAGTATATATAGGATTGCAGCCTAAATATCACTTATTTTGGCTATCAATAAGCAGAGGAACAGAAGTAAAAAAAAAGACTCAGTGTCATTATTTGATTTAAATGATTTTTGGAATATAAATAACTTTGCATCTGAGGGTCCCCGTCCCCCCCCCGGAAGCATACCTTATGAAATGTCCCTTGTTGGAAGCGAGTACACACATGGTTCTGGAAATCAGTTTTTTTAAATGGGACAGTTGGTTGAGTAGCAAAGATTTAAGGATATTATCCTAAAATCCATGTAGATGTTTTGCTAAGTATGAAAGGATCTAGAGACCTATTAAACTAAGCTTACTTAAAAAATAATAATCAAACTTGGCAGGACTCAGACTCCACAGACAGAAGAATGAAGCAGGCTAAAATTTTAAAATTTGATTTCCTTTATTCCTCTGCATTTATCAGTTTAATCAGCCCACATTAGTTTTTCACAATGAAAACAATGTATTTGCTTCCTTTTGTTTCCCACAATGTTTTTTTTTAAGTACCTGTAGTCTTGAATAGTACTTGACTAAATGCCAAAGTCACCTCTCTCTTATTTCACAAAGGTGGATGCCACAGCAGTGCATCGCATTGACAGCCTTGCAGCTCTGAGCATGGACCGGTCTGGACTTATGCGGGAAGGGCTTAGAGTCCCCAGCAGTATTGTCTATTCCAGTTTGTGTGGACTTGGCTCAGACAAGCCCCGGGACACTACAAGTGCTATTGCTGGCCTTGGATTTGCTCCTGAAAGAAATCCAGAGATGCAGTTCAAGTCTAATCCCACTGAAGCAATTGAAAATGCAGCTGGAAAACCCCCAAATGGCTTCAGTGCTATGTACAAAACGCCACCTGGAATACAAAAAAGTTCGCTTCCGACTGGGGAGACCTTAGGCTTGGACAGAAGCTCAAGCGACAAACCGAGTCCTCTCAATGTCAATGGTGCTAGTTACCTAAGGCTACCCTGGGTAAATCCTTACATGGAGGGTGCTATTTATCCTTTTCTCGAATCACCAAATAAGTATTCGTTGAACATGTATAAGGCCTTGCTACCTCAGCAGTCCAATTACAGCTTGCCACAGCATCTGACCTACTCGCCCGTATGTACAAATGGTGAACGTTTTTTATACTTGCCACCTTCTCATTACGTTGCTCCCCACATTCCGTCATCGTTAGCTTCACCAATGAGGATCTCTGCTGCAACCGCAGCTCCAGCTATTCCCCCTCTAGGACACTGTCCAGAAAAGAGCTTGTCTTGGAAGATGGGAGTCGGTCCCGGAACTCCTGTGGACTCTCATGCCTATCCACATATCCAGAATAGCAAGCCTCCCAGAGTCCCTTCTGCAAAGCCAGCGGCTAGTAATATGCCAACAGACCCCACTGTTCTCTTGTCTCATTCACCGAGACCATCACCTAGAGTTCACCTCCCGACGCAGGTTGGGGACGCTTACTCGGAGTTTCAGAAACACTTTTCCAGGATTTCGACATCTCCTTCTTCAGTTACACTCCCAAAGCCATACGTGAATGTAAGCAATGAGTTTCCTCCAAGAGTCTCCGGGGGGAAAGCTCCTAAAACACACGACACAGGCGAAATCTCTCAGCAGCCTACAGTGCATGCAAGGAAAACAGGTCACGACAGGAAGGACAGCAGATCCCCTCCACTGTTAGAAAAACAACAAACTGTTACCAAAGAGATTATAGACAAACCATTGGATTTGTCATCAAAAGTTGTTGACATGGAGACAACCAAATCTGATCATGTTAAGAAAATGGCGCCAACTGTGCTGGTTCATAGCAGGGCCGGAAGTGGCTTGGTTTTACCCGGAGGTGATCTTCCAAAAGAAACCATTTCTCCTGGAAGCGGTTGCCCTGTCTATAGACCTGAAATAATCAGCACGGCGCCTTCCTCCTGGGTTGTTCCTGGTCCAGGTCCCAATGAAGATAACGGTGGTAAAAACATGCAGTTGAAAAACAAAGCATTGGACTGGGTGACGCCACAACAACGGAGTTCTTCTTGCCCTAGGATGGGGGGTACAGAAGCAGTTGTCAGTAATATTTCAGGGTCTGTATCAAGCGGAGGTCGCCCAGCATCTGCTTCTCCTGCCCCAAATGCCAATGTCGATTGCCCTAAGACGACTAGCTCAGTAGAGACCACTGCATCTGTCATACAGCACATAGGACAACCTTTAGCAGCAGCATCTTCAAAGCATAGTAATAAGGCAGCTAAATGCAATAATCCAGAACCTATCTTCAAAGCAAATGAGAACACCCTTGCACCAACTTCCATATTTTTCCCTCCCAATGATGCATTCCGATCTCCACCATTGCCCTATCCAAGAAGCTATCTCCCATATCCAGTTCCAGAAGGCTTAGCTATAGGCCCTTTGTCTCTACATGGGAAAGGACCTGTATATCCTCACCCTGTTCTGTTACCCAATGGGAGTCTTTTCCCTGGACATCTAGCTCCCAAACCTACCATTCCATACAGCTTGCCAGCCAGCAGAGGTGAGTTCATGACCTACCAGGATGCTTTGGGTATGGGTATGGTGCACCCAATGCTGTTACCCCATACAGCTTTGGAGCTGAAAGATGAGAAATCGGAAAGGAGGTCTAGATCGCATGAACGGCTCCGTTATGAAGACCCTGCCTTGAGAAACCGATTGCCTGAGATGCTGGAAACCAGCACAAAACTACATTTTGAAGTACCTGCAGACAGAAACACGAAATTGCACCAAAGTTCAAGTCATGGTAAAAATACTACCAAAAGTGACAAGCACCTGTTTGCAGAACCGAGAGAGGAACAAGATGTGAAAGGTGAAACGAACCTGACGAAACCTAGCTTTCCTGTTGAAAGCAGTAATCAAGCAAGCGACCCCACAAAGCACAAGGTAGAACAAGGCTTCCCCCACAGAGATTTCATTGTGATGAGAGAAGACTGTGGGAGAAGCAATTTCCATGAAGTTTATAACTTCAAGCAAGCCCAGAGCCCACACCCATCGATGTTCAACTTAAGGAAAGAGGACCTTTCCTTAAGCCAGAATAGGGAGAGGTTAACGGTTCCCACTTCCTCTGTGTTCTTGGAGGCTGCTCACGGAAACGATGGCCTAGCTATGTCCTTTTGCAAAATGCCAGATGATGCTAAACAGCTTTGTATGGGAAACACGCAGTCAAGTATGGAAGTCAGTCAGGCATACGCCAAAGAGGGAACTGAGGGCGCGGAACCTAATGATGGCAAATTCCTGAAACCTAAGCCATCTAACCTGGCAAAGAGAATCGCAAACTCTGCTGGTTACGTAGGTGATCGATTCAAGTGTGTTACGACAGAACTGTATGCAGATTCTAGCCAACTTAGTCGAGAACAGCGGGCTCTGCAGGTGAGTTCTGAGGCTTAACTACCAAAGCAGTTTTTAAAAAAACACAGTTCACAGTTGAGAATGAAATATGTACAACTCTATAAGTCTATCTTGAACTTAACTAGCAGTGGTAATCTTGTGTATATTTGGGTTCTGCTATGAAGCCAGGGGTATTGGAGCGTTAATAGATAAGAATTATATGTAGTTAATTGGTGTAACAAATAATTTAATCTCATAAGCGTAACATGTAGTAGTGAAAGGAAGCTGAAGAATGCATGACATGTTTGTTTTTAAAGGTAGTTTGCTATAGCTTGCCTGTGTTTGGCTAGCACTATTAAATACCAAAGGAAAGGCAGAAGTTCTGATGATTATTTCATACAGGACATTTGATTAAAAAGGAGTAGCAGCCATATGTTAGCGGGTTTAATGCAACTTCTTTACCAAGCAGAAATGTAGCTTAAAGGAATAGAAGCTGTAGTGAATTTGACGTTGAATGATGGCAAGTATTGTAGGTTATTTTTTAGATTTGTGAAAGAATTGAGTTAAGCCAAATTGTTTTGCGTTGTTAAAAAAAGAAAGAATTAGTTGATGCTTATAAAAATGGATGAAATTATCTAAAATTTAAATGATCCATTGAGTGCCCATTTTAATTACATAGATGGAAGGATTACAAGAGGACAGTATTTTATGTCTACCTGCTGCTTACTGTGAGGTCAGTTCTTCAAATTTTTATTACTAGAATCTTGCATAAACCTTTGAGTTAAAATTTCATTTCCAAGTACACAAAGGGAAGTTGTGGGCCATGGTCATCTTTATTCATTGTTCAGTTTATGTTTTGTTTCTTTGTTATACCTCTCAAAAGACAATGCTTTTTAATACACATATATAAATAAATATATATATATAAAATGCTATTTACTTTTATATATGGAAGAACTGTATATCATTTGTGCATAGATACTACATGCCTTGCATATTGAACACATGGCATTTTAAAACTTTATATAGAATTGCGTGTATCTCAAAACTTTGGGTTTGAGCAGATATTTTCTTTCGGAAATACTTTTCATAGAAGGTAAGGTAAATGAAGTAGCTCTTATTGTGAGGTGTCTTTCTTCCCCATATCAATTCTCTTTCTAGCGTGCAATGATGCGCTTCTCAGAGTTGGAGATGAAAGAGAGAGAAGGCCACGTAGCAACCAAAGACCCGGAGGTCTGCAGATTCAACCAAGCAGACTGGGAAAACTTGAAAGGAAATAATGAAAAGAAACCTAAGTCTGTCACTTTGGAAGATGCCATTGCTGGGCAAAATGACAATGACAGATGTAAGCAAAGTTTTTATATGCCTTTTTGAAATTTCTGTGTGCCTCCTGTAGTCATTTAGAGCAAAACATGGCAATGCCATTACAGTGGTACCTCGGGTTACATACGCTTCAGGTTACAGGCTCCGTTAACCCAGAAATATTACCTCGGGTTAAGAACTTTGCTTCAGGATGAGAACAGGACACTGTGGCGGCGGTGCGGCAGCAGCAGCAGGAGGCCCCATTAGCTAAAGTGGTGCTTCAGGTTAAGAACAGTTTCAGGTTAAGAACGGACCTCCGGAACGAATTAAGTACTTAATCCGAGGTACCACTGTACGTAGATGTTAAAGCATTCAGCTCCAAAAAGCTGCTGCACAGTCATAGCAATACCTACTGGGTGATATACAACATTAGTCATAGAGTAGACCATTTGATAACAGTAGATGTCAGTGGGTCTTCTCTGAATATGACTAATGTTGCATATCGCCCACTAAGTTTCCCTTGACAAGAAGTGAAAACAAGTTTCTTTCATGTAAACATTTGTCAACTGCAGCTCGTCGTTTGTGTAGCTTAAATGTTGCGTCGGTCTTAGTGTGGGTTCTCTGTTGTCTTAAGCAGGGAGAAAGGAAGACAGGTAATGGGAGGGTTGAGCTAAGTCATATAATCAGAAAACCTTCCATTTAGTTATTTGAAGAGTGTGAACGTTAACATTGTGTGTGTCTTGTTGCTTTTTTTGCAGAAAGCCACTGCAATGTGGTGATCTGTATTGTGTAGTAGAAGCCTGCCCTCTCCCTCCATATCAGCAAACTGTTCTGTGCACAAATTTTCCATTCATAGGCTTGTCAACTTCCATCAGACCAGTAAAGAATAAAACTATGCCATGAATCAACAGGGCCAGCTGGTGTGGCAGCACCGTAGTTCTGAACTCCTGCCAGCACTGCTGCTTGCTGCTTACTAGGGTGATGTGGGAGCTGGGCAGTGGTGACGCCAACGCAGCCTGGCCATACTGGTGGAGCCAATCTAGTGCCCCAACAGCTGCCCATTACCTTTTAAAATTGGGGGTGATTTGTTCTTGATTTTGGCTGTATTCTTCCCACCATTAGAATGGAAGAAGTACCTGCTAATTTCTAATGATTTCAGCAGCAGTAAGTGTGCAATGAACAAAAAGATTGGAGGGTTTGTCGCTTCAGTGTCTCTAAACCTCTTCAGATGTGAGAACCTATTACTTCTCCCTTCCCACAAACTTGCTAATAGAAAAATGGGTGTTCTTTAGAGTGTGTGTAACTTTGTGGGGGCTGGTCTGCCATGGCTGGTAAACTGAGTCAATAAGAGATGTTAATTACAAGTTGCTATCCCATAATGGGTTGGCCACAAATTCATATATTCATCTATAAAATCCAGATCTACAGGCAATGATTTGCATGCTTCCAATTGACGTGCAACCTCGCATTGCAGTGACCTGAAAGTGCCTGGGGAAAGGGGGCAGGCAGGAACGGAACCCCTGTGTAAACCAGTTGTTGCCTGTATTTGATAAACACTGTTAATCCAGCATAGAACAAGGTTGGGGAGCACTTGGCTGGTCTAAGACTCTTGAAGAGAGTCTTCTCTTCTCAGCTGTGCTCAGCAGAGTTTAGGTAGTTGAAGAATGCATCCTAGGCTTCCTTCTGAACCTGGAGACCTGACGCCCCATTCTGCTTGCTCCTCCTCCTCCTTTTTGTGGCTTCCTTCAGTTTCAGTAAATGCTTGTGCTTCAGTGCACTCCCCATGAGCCCTGAAAACTCAAAAGTGCTGTTCAGTTAAAAGGAAAGCAGTTGCAGTCTGTCTATTCCCCCAGCTGATACAGTGGGTGGAGGGGCAATTCATACACATCCTCATCAAGCAGTAGGGTGAAGGGAAGAGCTGTCTTTTTGAAAGGCAGCTGGAGCCCAAGAAACTAATGGTGTGAGGAAGGAAGGGAAGGGCAAATCAGGGTTTGAATAAAAGAAGGAAGGACACAAAAAGGTCTCTCAACATGGAGGTTGATTGGGTGCATATCATGCTGCGGGGGAGGCAAACATCTGTTTTGTGAAGGGAGCACAATGTTGCTGTGATCCTGCGGGTGCAGATGTGAGGACGAATTCTGTTGGAATGGGTTATCTAGGAACACAATTCAGGTTATTTACTCCACTGCAACTGTTCTTGTATGCATGCAAGTGTCAAGTTTTATGTAAGATTGAGCGTAACTTGACACTTTACGTTATCCAGCAGTGGCATTTTTTTCTTCCAAGTTGACATTTACTCCCTGCTATGATGCCTCATTCTTCAAGGCACCATTGTTTCAAAGGCACTGAAATCTTTGGGATGTTGTTGTTACTAAAATTATTTTTTATTATTGACAACACCAACAACATCTCAAAGATTTCAGTAGTTGCTATTACTATTATTATTTATTATTGAGTGGTTTCTCTAAAAAAAAGGAGTGGCCAAAACAAAATCAGAGTGGAATTCAAACTCAATGAACACCAGGCAGTATAAACAGTTTTTATAGCCTGCCTAAAACTAGGGAATGAGTGCCACAAATAGGATGCACCAATCTAGGCTCTCTTGAGGATGGAACGTACAACAGGGTCCCTGAAAATGAAAATGGGCATTGTATTCTTTTCTGTTATTTTCATTTGCTTTTGCAAAAGGTGAGAGGGGTGGAGTATCTGCACTTTTAGGTTTGCTGAACTAACAGGATTTTATCAGTTCTTTAAAATTTGCAGTATTTAGAACACCTGTGTGCAAGAAACAAATAGTTGATAAAATTGATTACACTATGTCTTGGAGCCAGATTACATATTGCTGTTGCCAGGGGATTGGCATCATGTGGCAAGGTTTTCATTTCCTGCGGCTATTAGATTCAGCTGTACTCACTGCATCAATCAGGGCCATCAGGAGAATTTCCCTGCTTCTGCTCCACGCAATTGGTGGCCATTGAAGGGGGAGGGGCAGGACAACTCACTACCTGATTATCTTGATGCACATAGTAAATACTATCAAATGTTATCTCTGCAGGGAGGCAAAGGTGCCATAGGGTTGTTGATCCCCACAGTGACTGTCCTATATAATTCGGTTCTTTTTTCTTCTTCTTTTTTTTCTTCTTTTTTTTTTTAATAAGTTTTTATTGTTAAAATAGTTCATCATTGATACACATATACAAGCATACAAACATACATTTCATACAATCCTTAAAAGTGTTCAAACATACTTACACTCAATCCCACAAATAATTCCTTTCCCCATCACCATCCACCACCCCTCACCCCACCTTTGTGTTTGACTTCCAATCTACTCAATTACAATTTCTTTCCACTTCTATTACTTTCTTTCATACACCTTTAGCCTAATTTCATACTTCTTTTTCTATTACACATTGTTATCCATCTTATTTGATATTTCAGTATTTGAAACGGAACTTGTTTATTCTAATAGGAGTTCTGATTTTTTGATATGATTTTGCAAGTATCTTTTAAACACCTTCCAGTCCCTATCTATCTTTTCTTTTGAAATCCTTCCAATTTCTTCCATTGTTTTGGATATATTGTACTACTCCAAAAATTTGGCAAGCCACTCTGTTTTTGTCGGTATTATACCACTTTTCCAGTTTTTCGCAATCAATAGCCTTGCTGCTACTGTTGCGTATAAATATAAGGTCTTATCTTCTTCCTTTAGGCTTCCTGGTACTATTCTCAATAGAAAACCTTCTGGTGTTTTCCTAAATGAGTATCTAAACATTTTTTTCATTTCATTATATATTATTTCCCAAAATTGTTTGATGTTTAAACAATTCCACCATATATGTATCATAGTACCTTTTCCCGTGTTGCATCGCCAGCAGACATCGCTACTCGGTTCTTAACTTCCATGTAATGTGATTAACTTCAAGTTACTTTGACGTGGCAGTTTGTGATTTTTGTTTATGTGTGGACTGATAAGGTGTTTACAAAATAAAAGTTTTGTGCACATCACAGGGCTTAGCTTTGCAAAAAAGTTTCGACACACAAAGGCTGGAATCTTGTCAATTCTGTTCTGCTTAGGCCTTAGGGAATAGACATACAGTGGTACCTCAGAAGTTGAATGGAATCTGTTCCGGAAGTCCATTCGACTTCCAACACGTTTGAAAACCAAAGCACGGCTTCTGATTGGCTGCAGGAAGCTCATGCAGCCAACCGGAAGCCACAGAAGCCACATTGGACATTCGGGTTCCAAAGAACATTTGCAAACCAGAACACTTACTTCTGGGTTTGCGGCATTCGGGAGCCAAAGCGTTTGACTCACAAGGCATTTGTGAACCAAGGTATGACTGTATTGATTTCAGCAAAACGAAAGAATGAGACTACTGCAGACTAAGCCGTCTGCAGGTGGTAAAGGAAGGCTGATTGCATAAAGTTTTTAAAAATTAATAAACAAATTAAAACCAATGTGGTAGACGAGATGCTTAAAAGTGCATTTTTCTTTGATGTGGTGATGTCTATGGTTACTATGCCTGCAAAGCACGGAAAGTTTTCACAGCATCACTACAAAATTTGCCACGTCTATTCACTTTTTGCTCCTTGCAACAGCAGCTAGTAAAGACAGCTGAGCAGAAAGCCTTTAGCATTAGGTTTTTGGTACTTCAGGGCATTTTGAACCTAAGCACCTGACATTCATCATGCCAATTGGCATAAGTACCTGATGCGGTCAGAAAGTTTTCAGGTTCAGCTTTTCCCATGGAGAGTTGCTGTTATTCAGTTGATCAGTGTCTTACATCTAATGTTACCATGTTTATAGTCAGTCTTGAGAGCCTTAAATCTGGATAACATTTTGATCTTTAGTAGCATAGCTGGGAGCTTAACAAAACATTGCAGTGTGGAGTATTCCTATTCAGGATTCCAGCCAGCCATGTCTCTCCCAATGGTCTCCATTCTGCCTGTTCCCCAATTTTCTGCCCCTCGCCAGACATTCATTGTTTTGTGGCCATTGAGCAAGCTCTGTCCTTGTTGGGCTGTTTTGGGTGGTTTTCCATTCCCTTCCTCCCCTGCCCCCTAAATATTTTTTATTATATGTCCACAAATCTTGGGGCTTCCACAAGCCTTTTGATACTTCCCTCTTGTGTGTGGATGGTGGTTCTTTTTGGCAACATAAGGACGGGTCCTGAGAGTTCACTATTCTTATGTACAATGTGACTTGGAAAAGGGGTTTACACATACAACAGAATGGATTGTACACAGACTATAGTGAGGTGAGGTTTCTTTTTTGAAGGTTTTTCTATGTGTAAAAAGACCCTCAAATACAGCCGTCTACAATTAGAAAACTATAGAGGCCAGTGAGATCCTTTCTCTCTACTGTGTTAGTCCCCCCCCCCCCGGTGAGGTGGGGGCATTTACAAATGGTAACCTCACTTGCCATCTGATGTGCTATATTATAGTCCACTTTACCACTTAATTCTGCTGCCTGTTACCTTCTGGATTGGTAGATTTCTTTGCTTTGCTTTTTTCGTTTATAGATCTGAGATTGGACAGAATGTTCTCAGGCCCTTATGGGAACTGTTAGCTGCCTCCTTTGGGGCTCTTATATACCTATGGCAAACTTTTATTATCATTACTTTAAAAAAACCCCAAGTTAAAAATAAAAAAATCCTGGTAAAAAGCATTCTTTTCTCCACCTTTCCCCCCCAAATACCAGCAAAACAAAGTTAGATGTGATAGTAAAAGACTGAGTACTGGTGATTTTCCTTATCTCTGACCGAAGTGGAATTAGCTGAGGCCATGAAAGGCTTTGGCATGTCTTAAGTTCTCCGAGGGAAGGTTCTTGCCAAAGCAGGAAGTCTGTGGAGAAGTAAGATGCCCCATTGGTTCTCAGTGCTGCTAATTATCTGAACAAAGGTGGTCCTTCCCCCCCCCGCCCCGTTTGTGGGCCCACTCCATACATGCAGCCACGTGAGTTATTAGTGAGTGGGGCGGGGAACCTATGAGGTCCGGGTGGTTTTTAAAAAACTCTATAGGAACCCTTTTTTCAGTGCAGAGTTGTGCTGGCTGAGTAAACCCTTTGGGGAGCCACTTGCTCAAGCATCTTCCAACTAGGATTAGGTGGTGCTAGAGGCCAGCCACCTGGGTCACTGCAGCAGACCTGAAATGGTGAGAGGGAAAGTCTAGGCTAGGAAGAGATTGCATGTCTGCAGGTAACTGTCTGTACTTCCCTTCCTTACAGCAAGAGTAGTTGGGCTACTGTGAATTTATATGAGTGGAGTCTTTTGTGGTGTGCATATGGAACTGCCACACTCAGGCAGAGTCTCATTCAAGCAAGCAAAATGCTGGGGAGGTAGAAGCATCTGCCTGCTCAAGTGCAGCCTAGAACATGCCTAATATAGTGGAAGAAAGGCTGTAACACTTGCCGGCAGTTTGAGTCAAGTTTCGGCAATGCCCAACTCCTAGGTCTGGTTGCTAAGTTTAAATGGTCTGAATAAAAGCTGTGGCTCTCACAGGATTGGTCAAAGTGTTAATTTCTGTTTTCTAGATTCATCCTTAATAATCAGCTAATTATTTTCATTCTCATAAGTGCGCTCTGAATGTTTTTTCTGGTGCAGTGGTGCAAAACAAATTACAGCAATGTTCATTGTGCTGCCTGCAGACAGATTGGTGCAAATTTATTTCATTTTAAATAATTTTTATCCATGCATCGACATGTACTGAAGCAGACTTAGAATTGAGGCACAGAGAGAAAGTTTCCTAAAACCAATGATTCATCTGACCTCCAGGATATTTCCACTGCATTTGAAAATGCGTAGCAATTCTCTACCGGTGAATTGCATAATTTTGGGGGGGGGGGTGTGGTAGAGGGCCAAACGGTGCCAGGTACATCCAACCTGAAAATGCGAAAACCGAAATGAGAGGCAAGCCTCTGTATTCTTTTTTCCAGGGAGTTTAAAAATCAGGAGGAACGGGGAGAGCCATAGCAAAAACTGCTTTGTTGCCAAGAAGACTTGTAAACGTTGCTATGGAGAGCTTCTTTCCCACAAATGTGATAAATTATGGGATGTTTTCAGCAGAGGAATGATTTAAGCAGCCTGGTATATGGATCCATTTGAAATGGGCATGGCGGCTTAATAGTGCTAAAAGGAAGTGTCATTCGTTCTTTGAGAAATACTATAATTTTTAGGCATCCTGACCCTTTTTAAGGCTTTAGCTGCTGCAGCGTGACCACTGTTGTGCACCAAAGAAACCTAAAGTGGGACAACTAGTGGAACAATGAATCTTCCCCGCAGGCCATGGAGCAAAAGCAGTGAGATCCATAACCCTTTTCCTATTTGTTTTGGAAAGCAGAGTGCTGAAGTATAGGATGATTCCTAAACTACCTGTCTGCTGCAAGAAATAAATTAACCAATTAAAAAGCTCTTGCAAGTACCAAGTACTCATTTGCAGAGGAAGCTCTGGCTGGGTCTCTGCATGATTCACTGCTGTGGACTTGCCTCCTTCCAATCAGCCTCTGCTGATTGGCAAGTGATCCTCTTGCATCTCTGCTTCAGATGTCATTGGATCTTTCAATCATTCCTCATGCAGAAATTCAGCAGCATTACTCAAGCTCAAGAGGAGGCTACCAATTGCCTCTTTGCAAGAGTTGCTGCTCTAAGCTGGCCCTTCTGGTCAAGAAGCACCCCTGACTTCATGACCCTGTTGAGACAAAGGCATAGTTTCCAGTGAGGGGGATAATTGTTACTCCTGCCTTCAACCTCTAAAGAAGCAAACATTTTTCAGGTGTAAGGGTGATGTATATCAACTTTAATTCAGGAGATAAGTGTTGTTCAACTACCAGAATGTAAGAAAACATTGGAGTAGATGATTTTAAAATGCACTTGTTGTTTAAAATGAATTTATGAACAGTGGGTATAATGTACGACAAGCAGAAGAGAAATGCTTATATCTGTCAGGCTGTTAGGAATTATATTGAGAATGAATCCGTAGCATGTTGGAGATATCTGGATTCCTCAAACCAAACTTCTTTATTTTTAACCCAAGAATTTAGGAGATTTGGGTGAGTGGGTGGGAACTAAATTATGATCTTTACATTTGACATTGTGCCTCTGATATTTTCCATTTATTCTACAATAAGTTCAACCTGTCTAGGAATATTTTTCCAGGGCTGTCATTCTCTTTCTGCTGCTTTATAAGGTTCATGAGGAAGAGACATACACAGAAGTTGTTCATTCTTTTGGGAGGAACAGACTAATTCAGTGCTTCTCCATTGCTCTGACAGATACTTTTCATTTATCTCATTTTGGGAAGATCAAGGCCATTTTGGGGAGATTGCTCAGAATGAACAAGACTGTTAAGCACAATGAAAATGCAAAGTGACAAACATTTATTTGTCTTGCATGCTTGCCAGTGATAAAAAAAGCCAAATCCATGATTTGTTGTGGAGGAAGAAATAAACAAAGGTGGAAACATCCTGCATGTGGCAGAAGTATAGGATAGCTGATAGTTTGTATTCCTTCATGTAGGGCTTGGAATAGGGATGTATTACTCTGTCAATTTCGATTCCTTATTTTTCCAGTCTTAAATTCTGTTTGGCCAATTTCTGTTGTCATTCATGTGTGTTTTTTTAATTTGCAAGAAATAAGTTATCTTACTATACATATTTTTTGCAAGCACTTTTCCCATAGGTAATACATTTTTAATGTTATTTTCACTAACGTAAGCATTTTTCTTTGTGCTTTTCTCAATACACATTTTTGTATGCATATTTTGGTTGGAGAGCTGCACTGTAAAATTCAGAAAAGCAGGAAATTTGATGCGTAGTTGTGCTTTGGCTTTCATATGGATTCAGGAAGTGAAAATTACCGTAGTTTCAAACCAAACAAATATCTCTCCCCTTTCCCTAGACTTGGGTAATATATTTATTATACCTATTTGATAGATAAGACGTGACTTTCAGTGCATACTCTGATGTAAACCCAATTGAGTTCAATGGGGCTTACTTCTAGGTAAGTGTCTTGGGTTGCAGTTTGGGTCCCGTTTATTTCCAGTGCAGGTAAGAGTGCATGTGAATGGTGTATAGTCCTAGGGTATTTACTCTGGTGTAAGTTTCCCTGAGAAGTAACTTCCATTAAATTCAGACCCATAGGAATGTAGTCTAAGTTGGGCTTAGCTGTGACTAACATAGGCTGGCTTTTGCCAATTGTGATATACTTTTGGATGAGGACACTGGATAATTTTAGAGTCTGGGTGGTCTAATAACATTTCCTAAAGAAGTTCCCGGGGTCAGAACTAAACTGAAGAAAGGAAACGTGTCTGCTACCATGTTTGAAGAAGATAAAGGACTTCATTTTTATAATGAAGTGAACTTGCTTGTTTCCTGTTCGCATATACTTAAAAGGTAAAGGTAAAGGTACCCCTGACCATTAGGTCCAGTCGTGAACGACTCTGAGGTTGCAGTGCTCATCTCGTTCTATAAGCCGAGGGAGCCGGCGTTTGTCCGCAGACAGCTTCCGGGTCATGTGGCTGGCATGACTAAGCTGCTTCTGGCGAAACAAGAGCAGTGCACGGAAACACTGTTTATCATCCTGCTGGAGTGGTACCTATTTATCTACTTGCACTTTGACATGCTTTCGAACTGCTAGGTGGGCAGGAGCTGGGACCGAACAACGGGAGCTCACCCTGTCGTGGGGATTCAAACCGCCGACCTTCTGATTGGCAAGCTCTAGGCTCTGTGGTTTAGACCACAGCGCCACCCACGTCCCTTCACGTATACTTAAGGCAAAGTTAAAAATTATTTGTTGCTCCAAGTATGATAAGTGTACTCTGGGCAACAAACAGTCCTTGAAGTAGACTATTTTCATTCTTGCTGTGGAATGCAAGGTCGTATTTTAGTTTCTGTGTTATCATGGTTGGACTGAAGCTGGAAGATGCATGCAATTTTGTGGTGGTAGATTTGGAATGCAAGAAAGACCTGAAATGGCCTTATCCTGAGGAGTTGTAAGGAAAGCTTGCATAAAACACACACATGCAGCAGATGGTTACTTGACTTCACCATCTCTGCAAATTCAGGGTCTCCTTTTTGCCTGATTTTTAGATGTAGGGAATTCCCAGATTGTTAAAGGAGGGAAATGACCTTGTTGTAGGCTGATATTCCTGTGTGCTTGCTTATCTGTAAGAAGAACTGTCTTTGATTTAAAGCTCCTTCCCTCCCCAAACAGATTCTCAGTAGGTAGCAAACTGGTACGGAATGCTAATAAAAAAGTTTAGTGAAGTCATCTTCTATCAGGCTCTTGTGGTAGAGCAGAAACTTTCCCCCTATATTTGACTTCTTAGTTGCTGGACTTATCAGTCAGTTGGGTTTTGTTTTGTTTTTAGCCCTGTTTCAATTTCACATAGAGACTGGTTTGTTGACCAAATCCCTGTGTGCATTCCTGCCCCCCCCCCCCGGGCCCTTCTGTTACTGCTGATTCTGAACTGCAAGTGTAGCACACATGTGGGCATAATGTGCTTTTTAAAAATCCACTGTTGATAGAATGGGGGTTAGGGGTTGGTCCAAACACCTGAACTTGTTTTAGAAACTGGACTTAGGCTGATTCACATCTCTAACCCAAATCCTAAGTGAGAAGGTGGTGGCATCAGAGGAAATGGTAGAGAACCTATTCAGCAGATTTTTGTTATGGTTCAGGTCAAAAACAGGTTAACAGCCTGGAGTGTAATCCATCTGAGGTCCACTGGAGCTCTTGTTATTCAAGGCCCATTGGAACTAATGATGGTTATATGGGAGCTGTGCTTGATGGTTGTATGCCTTAATGTTTCGTTTAAATGGTTGGTCTATTGGTTTAAGCTTGGTTTGCAAAATTCTTATGTAACTATGAATTAATACTCCAGAACTAAGGCCCGGGGGCCGGATCCGGCCCAATCGCCTTCTAAATCCAGCCCATGGACGGTCCAGGAATCAGTGTGTTTTTACCTGAGTAGAATGTGTCCTTTTATTTAAAATGCATCTCTGGGTTATTTGTGGGGCATAGGAATTCGTTCACCCCGCCCCCAAATATAGTCCGGCCCCCCCACAAGGTCTGAGGGACAGTGGACCCAGCCTCCTGCTGAAAAAGTTTGCTGACCCCTGCTCTAGAGTCATATTTCAGGTTTACTTATAATCTTCAAAACAAGGACTTTTCTCTGGGCTAGCAACATCCCAATCCTCTAAATATTTGCAAGAAGCTTGCTAGTATTCACTAATGAAGCTTTATACAAAATTAGAGCGAATGCTTTCTTCCAGCATCCAGTCAATAGAGCATCAAATAATAAAGACTATGAAACACCACCAGTCAAGTCTTTATACCAGAGGAAAAATAAGTTGTAGTATTTTCCTTCTTTCCAAGTTTGCAAATCCAAACGTTTTGTAGATTTGATCCAGTGTTGTGTGCCTTGCTAGATGCAAACAAATTTCTATACCTCATTTTCTTCATTATCTGTAAGAGATAATATATTTCAGCAAAATCACACATGCTAAAATAGGAAGTCTCATGTGTGTCATATTGAGATATACACCCCCTTTAAAAAAAAAAAATCACACTAAGACTCGCCTAGAACTCTGTTAAGGGAAACACCTGTTTAGATTGCTGGTCATCATGAGTTCATCAAAGCTAATGTTTGGAGCATGATGTTGTTCTCTTCACCCTATAATCTCAATACATGTTGAACCCGTCCTATAAACCAGTCCCAGGCAAAACTTGTTTCAATGTAACTAAAAATATTATGATAGGAGGGTAACCTAGTCCTATTAATCTGCTGTCGGTTTTATCTGCATGTAAATCTAACTCATAATAATGGCAACAACACTAAATATTGTGTAGATTCTTGTGCTTTGACATCATCAAGTTTCAATGTAAACGAGCTGCTCCTGTAAATTGGCTCAGTTTAACCCTCACTGTTTTATAATCTTCCTTTGCTGGGTTTCAAAACTCATTTCAGTCTGCTTTTTGAAGTAGCAGGTGTCAGGCAAACTTTTAAGAAGGGGGCTGATGGAAGGAGAAGATAAGGCAGGCAGCAAAATGGAAGAGGAGGAAGTTAAGCGGGTGATAAGATTGATGGGATAAATTAGAGGAGGAATGTGCGGGAGGGTGGGAACAAAGGAGACCAGAGGCAGATACATGAGAAGAGGGCTCCGGCTGCATCCTTTAAAAAATCCTTATCTACAGAGAAAGATAATGTGGGAAGGGCAAAGAAGCTTTAACAGGATTGCACAGGGGGGAAAAAAAGTTTTTAAAATTTAAAAATTCAAGGTTCAAGGCGTGGGATCCTTCTTACGCATTGTTGATATACAACTTTGATTTTTTTAGGTCTAGTTCAGAAATGTTTGTCTGTTGGTTGAAGACTGTGGTTTTTGTTATATTGTATATATCCTTGACTAAGGTTAAGCATAACCTTGAGGATACAAAATGTCAGCCAGGTTTTCAAGGCCTGCTGCACAAAAGGAGGAAAGTTGTAGACTTTTTGAAGACGAGTGGCATTGCAATATGTTAACTGCACTACTAAATCCCCGAATACGTGGATACTGGTGGTGTCATAGGTCAGAGAGGGCCACCTTCAGCGTCAGCCTAATTTCATGCAGGTTGCAGGGGCAGGAAGCAGAGAGAGTGAGCAAATCAGATTGGCCCTTCTCACTTTTCACTCTGGCCCTCAGTATGTGGCCCCTGATTAATTACTCTCCAGGGAACGTGACTCTCAACAGAAAAGGGTTTCCCATCCCTGCAATAAGTGTTTCCAGCAGTTCAGGTTATGGTGTATCGTCACACGTCTTTCATTCCCTGGGTTTGCAAATTTGACTTGGAGCCGCTAGAATTAATTCATGACAACTGGTTATTTTGCATCATGAGAAAAATAATATTTTGCATCATACCTACTTTTCCTAGTGAAATACCAGCAATATTAGTGTATGTCTAGTTTTCCTGTTGGTCCTTGATGTAATAATATTCATCCTTACCAAAATCCATAGTTGTGTCTAAACTTTTTCATCTACTTTGTAAATTCTCTTTACAAGCACGTACTTGGTGCTACAATTGCTCTGAAGAGATGGAAGCAATTGCGCGAGATGCTCGTTGAGTTAGTGATGTGGTAACCCTTTTTGTTTTTTGTTTTGTTTTTAAATGAAGGTGATTTTCATAATACAGAGAGCACCCAGGACCACGGTTTTGAAGTTCCTGAGGAGAAAGGTCCTCCAGCAGACAGTTGTGTGGAGAGACTTACTGTATATGAAAAGGCCAGCGACCAGTCCGCAGAAGATGTCAACCAGGTCCTGTGCCCCCACCAGGACAGGAAGCGTAAACATTCTGGTGAGAAAATGCAGAACGATGGAAGCCTGAAAGAAAACTTTGTAGAGGAGCAGGAAGATGAATTTGCATCAAAAGCAAAAAAGAGGAAGAACTCCAAAGGTAACCCGGCCAAGTTGGTCACTCTTTAAGGCATGGCTTGTGAAGTGAACACTCTTTGGATTAACCTATGTCCATTTATGACCTGTGTTGTGCCAATCCCAAATCCTCGCCTGAATTATGTTTGGGTACCTACAAGGTACAAGAATAGTCATTGGACAACGTAATCTTTGGCCAATGCAAATTGCTGTAGTGCATGCAAACCCCTCCTGAGCTAATCTTTTAAAAATGCATAGTGTGGTGGTGAAGCTGAAACAATCTGCCCCACAAGTGAACTATAGCTTTTGTTTCAAGTTGAGGGCCTTTTGATTAATTTTTAGTTATTTTTCCATTAGATGACTGGCCTGAGAGGGAAATGACAAACAATTCCTCTAACCACTTAGAAGAGCCCAATTGTAATGAGGTGACCAACCTGAAGGTGTGCATTGAATTAACAGGGCTCCATCCCAAAAAGCAGCGTCACCTGCAGCATCTTAGGGAACTGTGGGAGCAGCAGGTGTCACCAGAGAGATCCCCACCCGGCAAGTTGGGCCGGCAAAGCAGGAAAGATTTAGCTGAGGCTGTTCAGCCAGAGGCCACTGCAAAGGTCAAAGACTGCACAGAAGAAAGGCACACCAAGAAAAGGTCAGAGGTCAAAAGCAATAGAAGTTGGTCTGAAGAGTCCCTCAAAACAAGTGACAATGAACAAGGTATGCAGAGATTACTAGGGAAATCTAGCATTACTTAGTGACGCATGCTGCCACCAGTGCTAAGAAGCTGTCAGTAGTTTTTTGGGTAGAAGTTTTATATTATATTATATATAATATAAAATTTTACTATGACCATATAAAGGACTTAAAGTGCCACTATTAAACCACTTATGCTTGTTTTGCCAAATCTGTAGTGTGTGGTGCTAATTGTGTTTTAATGCCACATCCTAGATGTGTGTGCTGTCTGTGTCGTGTGATTCCCTCCCCGCTTCAAATTGGGGGGGGGGAGGCGGGAAAGAGAATACCAAAAACCTAAAATATTTTTGTCTGTAGGTTCTTTTTGGTCATTTTTGCTTTTTGATATTCTTAACAGTTTTTGACTTCATAACAGTCCCCCCCCCTTCAACTTTACCAGTCAGGAATGATTTTGATTTCATAACAATTTTTGACACGTATGAATGAGTGTAGATTAAGGAAGATAGTATGAAGAGTACTGCGTCTTTTAACCACTTGTGGGAATTCACTGCTCCATTAGGTTTGAACTTCTGAGTTAATTTTTCCCTGCTCTGGAAAGCTGGAGGGAAGAAAGAGGCCTCCTTGTGTTCCATTCTCTTTATGCCAGGAAAGGTGCACAGGTGTCTTTCCCCAAATCTTTTCTGCTTTGTGGTTAAATGCAGACTAGCTGAGTTCTTCTACCTAGCCTGCTTTACCACTTCTTTCTTCTCTTTCCTAATTAGTCGTCGTCACTTTTGTATATACTGCATCTTCTACACATAGATTGTACTGAAAACCAGTTCACAGGAAATAAAATGACAATTTAAATATAACGACAAGCAACGTAGCTGTCATACACAATAAAAATCTATAGAAACCCACTATAACATTGAAATATAAGATTTCATCTCCAACTGGGAGCAGGTCTTTGAGAAAGAGCTTCTGAAGGTCAAATTATATGTTATGTTAAATTCTTGTTTAACCCTTTCTCCTTGCACTGTTGTTCTGACTAATATCACTCCTCAGAGCTGCTATAGGTACCAACAGCAGGTTCCCTGTAAGAGCAAATAGCAGCTGGAGAAGGGAGGGATTTTAATCAGGACCGTGGTGCAGGGGGAAAGGGTCAATGCCCTTCCCATGTGCTGTACTCCAGATCACAGCTGCTGTGTCTTAAAATAAAAACAAAACCTGAAACATATTAAATCAAATCATGCATTTAATGTAACACATAGTTTGGCCTCTACCATTTCAGACCGTGATAGGCAGAGTTTTGGTTTTTTGTTTTTATATGGGAGAAAATTCTGTTATTGAGAGCAGAGATCTGAATCGTTGAACGTTCTCCCATACAAAAAGACTCCCTGCGCCCGGAAAGCAATCATATGGAAAATGAGCCTTCTTTGCAACATGCTAGTTTTCCAGGTATGGGGATATTTATTTATTTTTGGAACAGAGGAACATTGAAGTGCAAGCCCCTACTTCCTGCCTGAAAAGTCCAGCCACAAGTTTCACCCTGGTGAAAACTAGGCCTAAGTCTACAACAGCTAGAGGATTCACCACTTTCTTACATGTTTTTTAAAAAGTTTTTTTAAGACAAGAGAGAGAATCCTTCATTAGATAGACAGATCAGACTCATGAGTCAAGCCCTTGGTTTCTATTCCATTCAGACATTGCTTGATCTTACAGAAACAGAATTTAAGAAACCTTGATCTGATGCACTGTGAATTCAGATACAGTCATACCTTGAGTTGAATGCACTTCGTGTTACTTCCGGGTTTTGCCGCTCGCGCATGCACAGACGCTCAAAATGACATCACGCGCATGCGCGGTAGCAGCAAAACGCAACACGCGCAGATGCGCCGTCACGTCTTTTGTGTTCCATTCAGGATGCGAACGGGGCTCCGGAACGGATCCCGTTCGCATCCCGGGGTACCACTGTATTGTTCTTACTCTAAAACCACAGCTAGTCATTCATTTTTATTCATTTCAGTTGTTCTGTTGGTCCCTTTGGGGTTCTGAAGAAGTTTAGTTCTGATTCCTCTTACCTGAAAATTGTCATGTAAACAAACTCATCATGAACCTCTTTGCTTTCTTTACATTTCCTTCATGTCTTAGGGAATCCTTTTCTCTCTTCAGGCATGGTCAGTAGAATGTTACAAAAGTGGAATGAACATTGAAGCTATGAGAAATGCATTGTTGGTATTTTAGAGAAGCTGAAAAGGTCACTTAGGGTCAATATATCCTGTTTCTGTACACGACATCCTTGCAAAAGGCAACTCTTGAAAGTTAGGTCCTTGCAATGCAGCAAACAGGAGAGACAGCTGCTTAATGGTTAAGAGCCATAGAACACTGAGAAATTGCTGTTTGGATCTATGAATCCCTTTTCAGAATGCTGCAAGAAACAGACCCAATGCTTTCCTCATTTTTGGTGCACAAAGGGAGACTTTTTCAAAGGCAGAAATGGGAATTGGGCACTCAACCAGCGTTTCTGATTATGGAAACCGTTTCTGTGTCCTTTGAATTTTACACTCCACTCTGCTCTACAAAAAGCAAAAATGGGTTTCCTGAGGTGGAAAGGTTTCAGCAGTTCTATACCTGAAAGAGCAGTATATTCCCACTTTGCTAGCATGTCATTACAGGTAAGGAAGCCTCTTCTCTCATCTGCATCCGTATAAACAAGTACACTGAGAAGGAGGCCTGATTCATATCTACTTTGCCACGATGCTTAGATGGTGCAGTGCTAGACTGTGTGGTTGTTTACTGTGCTTAGATCTCGGAACAGCAAACTTTGTTTAGCAGATGTACCCACCCATTACAATTACTTTTTATCGCTTATAGTCCAAATGTGGAATTGCTTAATGCAAATGTAAAAGTTTTAAAATAATGTGTCATGTGTTAGGTGTGTGTGTGTGTTCTCTTTCCTTTCAACACACTATGCAATGTATGATGCCTTTCCTCCCCATTTAGGTATCCCTCCATTCCCAGCATCTCCGCACATGAAGACCCTTTCATCTACCAATATAAACAGCAAAAGGCAAGCCCAGCCAAGCTGTACTCCAGTTTCAAGGTTGGCTGCCAAGCAGCAGAAAATTAAAGAAAACTGGAAGACAGATGTGCTGTGCACAGACGAGGAAGAAGATTTTCAAGCTGCATCCCTGCTGCAGAAACATGGCGACTGTGAGAAGCCACCAGGGAAACGTCAGTGTAAAACAAAACATTTGGCACTGCAGGAAAGGAGAAGGAGGTCATCCCTGACAGGAGATGATGTCACTGATCTCGAAAGTGCTGAGGAGAAGGTATCTTTATTCCAACCCAGTTGTCCCACTAATATTTCAGGTTTGGCTAATATCAGCCACTTTAAACGCTTAGCTTGTTGTCTTATGTAGTGGCCCTTCCAAGCCCTTTCTGTTTACTTTAAAACACATTGTATTGTTCTGCAGTGCTCAATCCACTTTACTCCAGGACAAATCTGTGAGGGCTCCTCAGATTCTTTCAGGATTTTGATCTTAAAACTTTTAGATGGTATAAATCTAGAAGCCGACACTACTACACTTTTAAAAAGAGAGAGAAAGGAAAATGGATTTTCAATGAATTATTAAGGATGGATGGGTGGGGTGTGGAATCCAGTAATGATTTTGACAGGTCATAGTTAATGAGGAGAATCTGGAAGCGACCAGAGGCTCCTTCAGACTGTGACTCTTCACCAGTCAAATCACATGAGCAGGCATTGTACAATCGCCTGCAGCAGCAGAGTCCCTCATTATTGCCTGTCTCTTCAGCCCTCACAGCTGCAGATTGCAAGTGCCCCTCAGGAGACTCCCCCAAGTCGTCCCATGCCGCCAGAAGCCCGAAGGCTTATTGTCAATAAGAATGCTGGAGAAACTCTTCTGCAAAGGGCAGCCCGACTGGGATACGAGGCAAGCATTGTTTCTGAAGTTCACTACTCTGAATTACAATGTGGAAGATGCTTGGTGTCACACATAATTCTAACTGTGCACGTGGTTGGAGTCTCTCTTTGTGTTCCTTCTCAACATGTCGAAATATCTCCAGGCTCTCTGTTCTGTTTCTTTATTCAAGCGTGCAATTAGTATATTTTGTGAGCAGGGCTAGGAAAGAAACAATATAAACCCCTGTAAGTTAATAACCTTGAGCCTGAATAGGTGCCAGTCATTTTCAATAAGAAGTCAGTTCTTGATGTGCTTTGCAGGATGGGGATCGTGAGTAAGTAGTGGGGGATGGGGATAGATACCCCGATACACAGCCAAAGTGAACATATATGCTACATTTCAGGAAGGTTAATTTCCGGCACAGCTTTGGCAGTGTGAGAGTGTGGACACGCTTCATTTCAGGGCTGCTTTTGAACTTCGCATTTTAATGTTATGAATATATATTTTGTGGTGCATTCCCATATTTGAAAAACAAACTGGCATTTAGAGCTGGTAAATCACTGGGACTTACAGACTTCAGGTGAAAATAGTCATATGTACAAATAGTTTGGAGATCAGACTTATTAGCAAAGCAGCTCTATAGGTGCCTATGTCTTTGGGTTTATTTTCCTTTCTACATTTTTAGACATTGCTTGTAAGAATGCTGCCATCCTTAAAATGCTATATATATAGAGAGAAAGAGGGCGGGGGATGGGTCCTGACGAATCCTTCTGTTAATTTTGTTTTATGGAAAGGTTTTGTTTACTTCTACCTGTAGCAATAAAATGTGAGGTCTTCAAAAGCAGGGGTGTGGACTGGGGAACTGGTGCCCTCCATATGTTGCTGGACTCCAGCTCCCATAAACCGCAGGGATGATGGGAATGACTTGCTTCCAGTGGTGGTTATAGAGCTTAGTCAAGCACAAGTCAATCAGAACTTTACCTGTTCTGATCCTTAATCAAGAAGCAGTCAATTTGCTGTACCCCTTTTCCTTGATGAAAAAGAGAAGAGAATCAGTTCAGTATGTTGAAGCCTGTGTTGAGGGGCTAGATAGCAATGTGGCAACTGAAATACGGGTAGTGGTGATATATTTAACTTCTTGTGTGGTAGGGCAATGGGGCATCTTGTATATGGGAAAAGTCCAGTGATTAAAGTCACAACAGACAATTTCATTCTCCACCGCATCATGGAGCACTTTCTAGTCTTGTTGTGTTGGATGAGTTTCAGTTAGCAAGACTTATGGACATGGACAAGGTGCTTGACTTGGTTTGGGCAACTACTTCTGCTCTTCTCCCTTGATGCTCATGGTTTTTTAAAACAGCAGGGTTGACCACATCAGAGAGGTGATTAAAGCCTCCTTGCAAGAGGGGGTGGGCCCCCCACCTGTCAAAAGGAGATAGTGTTAAGACCACTCCTTAAGAAACACTCTGTGGATTCAGAAAATCTAAATAGAAATTGGTCAGTCACTAATGTTTCCTTCTTGGGCAAGGTTCTTGCGGGGTTGCAGGACAGATCTTGGGTATCCTGGGTGAAACCAATCTTTTAGTTCCATTTCAGTTGGGATGTAGGCTTGCTTTGGGTGACCCTGTTAGGAGAGAGACAGAAGAGTGTGTTCCTGTTGCCGCTAATTTATTTCTCAAGGGCTTTTGGCACCATTGGTCATTCTATGCTTCTGGAATGACTGGCTGAGCTGGGGTTAGGTAGCACCACTACCAATCTGACTTGGATGGTTGTTTTCAGAGGGTGGCGTGTGCTGGTTTTGACCTATGTGGCTTTGACCTATGTGGCTCAGCACCCCAATTCCTCAAGGGCCTCTTTTTCCCACGTGAAGCAACCCAGACCCTACTCTGTGTGACCTCCTGTGGGAGGTGTGGAGGGTGAAAACAGGAGAAGGAGCCTTTTCCATGGTGGCCCCTCTCCCCTGTAAGTGGAGTGCTCTCTCCAGGGAGGCACACCAGTGCCTGTTTCTAGGTACCAGGCAGAGCCATTCTTATTCACCTAGGCCTTGGGATCTTAATTTTAGCAGGGTGTGGTGGATCTGGAGCTGTTTTTATGTATGTTAGTTGTGTCTGCTGAGTGCCGATGGGGTGTGTAGGAACAGAATAGAAAAGGAATGGTTGGCTGACTAGGAGCACTCCCATGCTGCAGCATTTTGTTGCAGGACCCACTTGTCTCTGTAGGATCTATAGGTGTTAGTAGTGGAGACAGTTCTGAACCTCTGTTCTTCAGCCACATTGGGCTTCTGAGGATGGACATTGAGCACGAACAACAAGAGTTCAGCGCCACCTTATTTATATATGTAACAACATTTTACATGAGACGCCCTTGGAAACGTTCTGCTTTTATAGCTACCACATGCCACTGGGAATCTTGCCTCTGACTTTGACGAGGTGTCCCATAGCTTAATTAATTCAAACTGTATTCCACGAGGCTTCAAGGAAAACAAATAAGGACAGTGCTGAAGGCCCTTTCCAGAGTAAACAGCGGCAAATACCAGATTAAAACTCCTCCTGAAACAGCTGTACTGAATGCACAGTTTGACGGGGAAAGGGAGAGGCATTCCTAGGTGGTACTCTCTGTGTCTTGACTTGGAGATATCAGTTACATGTCTCCTTTTCCTTCATCATGTCTGCTCAGGGCCAAACGAGATGTGATTGTTTCAGCTCAGTTTTGTGTATTGAAACACTCTGTAGGAGGAGGATTTTAATAGCAATGTGAGTGTAGTAGGTTGGGTGCCGACTCCACTATGTACCTATTGCTTACCTCTTCATGGACCTTCTCTCCAGAAGCTTTTTGCTTGGTTGTGTTTCAGAGCTTGGCTGCGGGGCTGGGGCGGGCAAGAGATGCGCCGTAATGCCCAGATCACCAACTTTCATTAAGGAAAAAAAGAAAAAGAAAGTTTATGGCACTTTTAGAACCCAAGCTGTGAAGCAAAATGTGCAGCCCGATTGTGGAAACTCTAGAGAAGAAACACCTTCGCTTGCTTTTCACTTTTCCACCTTTTATTCTGGTCTTCCCTGGTGGAGAAGGGGTTGCTGCCCTATAGAAAACAATGCATTTATTCAGGATTCGTGTGTAGCTGTGATTGGGGAATAAAGTGTTGTTGCACTTATTTTGGAGGGATTTTGTGTAGTGCACATCAACCCTCAAATGTTGTCCAGTGCTATCCTGGTGTGTGCGGTTTATTTTTTTAGAGAGAGATGCAGCTGGCAGGGATGTGAAATTGATTATAGCAGCAGTGCCATTCATGAAGGGCTAGAGGTGTGTGAAAGGAGCAGGGAAAGAATTGCAGGTTTCAGCATTGAGTGGAAAGATGTTGCCTAGAAGAAAATCGGATGTATAAATTGAAAAACAACAGAGAAATAGACCTGGAGCCCAATTTTCCCAGAGGCCATATCTACCCAGGTCTCTTTGCCACTACTCAGTCAACAGATCTAGTTTGATGCTAGCTATGTTTTATTTATTTCTTTGGAGTAATAAATTAACACTCTCTCCCCCGCCTCCCGCCCATCACCTTGCAGATGTGTAGGCAGAAGTTAATGGCAGATAAGCCATAGGTGAGGGAAAGTCTGTACTCAACACCTGTACATTGCTTTAAAGTCAGGCATGCACACTCTTTCCTCTCTCTGTGATTTGGACAGTTTACGTGTTTACAACATGCACAACTGTTGTCAGGACTAGATTGGCCCTGCACTGGTGTGCAGCTGGCAACCTTTCAAATGACCTCTCTCATGTGACAGGCATAATCAGCTGAAATGCTGTAGTCCGTAAGACAGCCAGAAAAGTGTCTCAGACCCACAATACAACAAAGTTTTGAGATTTGTTTGTTGACAAACTTGTTTTCTTCATCTCTTAAATATAAATTGACAGGGAATATATTATCTTGAGGGATGTTAAAATAACTTGTTTTTTTTGTGGTGGTTTTTGTATGACCTTTCTAGTTTGTTGTTGTTTTTTTAAAATAAAATTTCTCACCCAAGTGTGTGCTCTCAACATTTTCCCTCTGTTATTGTACAGGAACATGCTAGAAAAGTCAGTTAATTTGGGAGCGGTGGTGAGGGGTGTGTGTGCATTGTGGATAGGGTTGTAGACAGGAAATCCGAGGTTTTCTTCATGGTTTCCCCAGAGGAATGGGGTTTTGCTGGTAGAATGCATTGCAGGCCTCAGCCTAGGAAAGTCTGTTGGCTGCCATGATACTTTGGCTGCGAGGGATATTTGCTCATAGGCGTTGCGTTTCCAAATGCCCTTCTTATCTGACTGCTTTATAGAAGGACTCCCCCTGGAACATTCCTCTTCTCTTCCCCCTCCCCAATTGAAACACTTCCCAGATGAATTGTGCCCCTCCCTCCTGTTTTCTTTAAGTGATAACCTCTGGTGTTAAAGATATCTCCATAGCAACAAACAGTTTCTTTTCTCCACCCTTCCTGCCTTTCTCCAGGAAGTGGTTCTGCATTGTTTGGAAAACAAGGTCTGTGATGTAAATCACTATGACAGGGCTGGCTGTTGTGTTGTAAAGAGACTTTAGGCACATTATTCTTTCAGTGATTTCCTTTGCTGGCTTGGACGGAGGATGATGCACAGAATGCTCTGCGGATCCGTACTCATGGAACATGGATCTAGAGAGGCAGCCTGCCACACGTACTAAAGCAGCAAATGAGACATGCACACACCCCTCTCACACGCAGACACACACATTAAATAGGATTCCCATTTCTACTAGGCTAGAATGCATCACTTTCTAGCTGTCACGGAAGCATTGAAAATAATTCTGTGCTTTGGTTGGTGGAAACTGAGATGACTTTATAAATAACTATGCATCTTATAAATAACAACACACGGTTGCATGAAAATGGCATATGGGCTAGAACTGGCCAGTAGGTGTCATGGTGAATGCAGTTTTAAATTCTCTATATTGGGGTTTCCAACCCTTTTGGGCTCAGGGGCACATTTGGAAAATGTTAGAAACTGTCACGTGATGACAAAATACACGTGTTGCAGAAGAAAAGCTGGTGATACACCAAAACCCGACAAATAACCCACATACTTCCTAAAACAAATAAAACACAAAAAGCTGAGCTCTCCCTCTCCCAAGCAAAATGCTCACAATCCAATGGCAAAACCAGGCAAGGCAATCTGCATCCAAGCAAAAGAAAAATCAGTTCTCTCTCTCTCTCTCTTTGGCGATCACTCATAGCTGAGTAATATTGTCTTCCATAAACACGGTTTTAACAATGAGTCCGTACCACAAACACACAGAGCCCCCTCCAAAAAGCAGATAACCCCAACATACAAACACAAAAATCAGGTGAAACACACACCAAGAAACAAAAAAAATTCTGGCAAAGTGCCACCATTTGGAACCCAGAGGCTTTCCTAGTGGAAAGGGAGGTAAAAGAGCCAGGGTAGGGTGGCTTTCCAGTCAGTTTAGCATCACCAATGGTAATGAAGAAAGCTTTTTTTTTAATAGAAAAAATTAGGAGAGTCGGGTGCAATGGTGGTCACCAAGTGGGCATCATGGTGCCTGAGGGCATCACAATGGGGAATTGGGGAATTAATGGGCATAGCCAAGGGAGTAAATAAACCAGGTAAATAAATAGAAATACTTAACTAGCCGGCCAATTGCATCACAGAAAATTCTGTTCTGCCCGCCCCCCCCAAACATAAAGCCTGCCCCTCTAAAATAAATCCTGGCTACACCCATATTTATATTCATCAATCTTAATTGTTCTACACAAGCTTCTGCAATGTGTTTTTTCCAGGATTCCCAATTTCAGACCCAAACTAGTCATGTGCTATCAGCCACATGTTGTGGAATTCGACAGAGAAGGCTGAGATTTCTATGAATTGAATAAATCATGTTTAAAGAGTTAATGAGGCATTTAATTAATTAACCATAAAACTCTACATTGTTACATCTCATGGTTAATGACACTGGATGAAATCCACTGGGAACTTCTCTAGTTCTGTGGCAAGAGGCTGAGTGTATGCAGAATGGGTGCCCTCCTTCAGGGGTCTTCGTGCAGATTGAATGAATGGGAGTTCAGCAAAGGCATATGCTCGGGGTTTATGGGGTGGGGGTGGGGGAATGACAACTAGACCTGACAATTTCTGACATGCGTGTCACTTAAATATAGGCAAATGCTTATTGCCTGTTGATTTAAAACTCGGAATTAGTCCCGAGTTTTCTGTGCTAATGTTTTTTGTTTGAAAGCCAAAACTCTGGATGGTCCACAGCTCAGTGTGGCACAATGCATAGATTGGGCACAGAAAGAGGCCCAGGGTGCATCTAGATAAGGTCTTGCAATCTCAAATGGATCATTTAGAAACTGCAAATGGTTCATTTGCAACCTTAATGAATTTTCCGCAGAAGGGATAAATCCAGCTTAAATGGAGAAAAATAAGGGCCGAGCAATTAGATGCCAATGACATCGTGTGGCCTCTGTGAATTGCTTGCATGCATGAGCTCCATTGATCCCACAACACTGTCAGTCCCTGGGATTTCCAGGCAATGGATTTGGGGTTGCAAGGCTGAGAAAGAGCTAGTTGTCGAGCTTAGCTCTGTTGCAGAGTCTCTGCCAGCCAGAGTAGATGATGCAAGCTAGCTGGACCAATGGCCTGATTCATTACAAGGCAGTTTCATATGTTTAAAAGCACCCTTTTTTTAGTTCAGTTTAAAATTAAACAAGTGGCAGTTGTTTGTACTAACAAACTGCCCACTCACAGATGATTTGGTACTGTTTCTGCAAGCCAGAAATGGAAGGAAATGTATGAAACAACTTTCCCCAGATTTTTATTTTTTAATTGAATTATATTGCTCATGTCGGTGCTGTTAGTCCCAGCCTGCTGTTTGGACCAGCAGAGAAAAGCCTGGCTACCAGACTGACAGATTCCATCATGGCTGGCATTGGGGTGGGGTGGGGTGGGCAGGGAACACTATCTGGGAGAGCCTTTTAAGTTTTCCCCATTTTGACAAGACAGACCTTGTTCATAGTATGTGGCTGAAGCACTTAGTAATCCTAAAAGTCATATGACTGGACTTCTTTCTTTAGCTTGGACAGCCAGTTCATTAGATTCCTGTGATCCACTTTAACCTGGTTAGCAAAGGCCTGCTACACGAACAGCTTCATGCTGTATCCTAGCTACCAACTCCTCAGGTCAGGTATGTGAAGAGTGCAGATTACTGTGGGCTTTCCGGCAGATTTGGAACTGCAAGGATAAGTCTGTGGCGCTGGGGAAATGGGCTTCCTGCATTTCACAAAGTGGACTCCAGTCCGTGGAAGCTTATGCCGTAATAAAATAGGCGTCACAATGCTCTTTATTCTCTTTTCTTCTCTCTGCCTTTACTTGAGAACAAAATGGTTAACTGAACTTGTGAAGGGTCCTGCTAAATTGACAGCATTTGTATCGGGTTCCTTTCACAGCACTTTGTCACCTACTGAGGGCCAATAGAACAGGATCTGCTACCCCAGGCCTTTGTTCCAGGTGACTGAAGGATCACAGTCTCATTTTTGCAAAACCGCTTTGGTCCCCCCCCCCCCCCCTTACAGTCATGCAGTATACACATTTTATTTAATAAAAGAACTAATGAAATGTTTCCATGACTGTCAAGAGCTTGGGAAATTTGCCTGTGAGCTTGATTGTGTTATCACTACTGCCAAAGCACTACCTTGGGTTCCATGGTGCAAGAAAGGAAAGATATAAATCCTGGGGTTGGGCTAGATGACCCTTGGGATCCCTCCCAACCCTACATTCCTATGAAAATGTAAGGAGTGTGTATGTGAGACACACGCACACACTCCCAAAAAATTATCTTGGTCGTTTTTGTTTCCATAAAGGCATCTCAAATCAGTGATAAAAATGTAGACAAAGGCCACAGTATTTAGACTAGTCTACTCCTTACCTTACCTTGGTGGCGCTGTGGTCTAAACCACAGAGCCTAGGGCTTGCTGATCAGAAGGTAGGCGGTTTGAATCATCGCGACAGGGTGAACTCCCGTTGCTCGGTCCCTGCTCCTGCCCACCTAGCAGTTTGAAAGCTCATCAAAGTACAAGTAGATAAATAGGTACTGCTCTGACGGGAAGGTAAACAGCGTTTCCGTACACTGCTCTGGTTCGCCAGAAGCAGCTTAGTCATGCTGGCCACATGACCCGGAAGCTGTACGCCGGCTCCCTCAGCCAATAAAGAGAGATGAGCGCCGCAACCCCAGAGTCATCCACGACTGGACCTAATGGTCAGGGGTCCCTTTACCTTTACTCCTTACCTTACCTCATGGCAAATTTCCATCTGGCACTGCAATGTGCACAGACCATACCCTGTGTAGTCCAGCATCATGATGTTGTGTTTCTTTGTTCATGCTAGTGGCTGCCATTGGCATGGAGCAGAGGCAGGGAAACTCACAACATGATGGCTGCTCCATGTCTTCATGGTGTTTGTACACATTGTGGCGCTGGGGTGAAACTAGTGACCCCAGGGAGCAGTTGAGGCACAGATAAGTTAAAGTATAGATCAGCTCTAACATTATTTGGAAGGAATTAAGATTTCAGTAGTTAATATACAGGATGCTGCAAAGAGGTTTAGTCGAACAAAAGCAGAAGCTGACCTGTTTTCTTCAGAATCTAAAAGAAGAGAAAGGCTTATGATTATACTTTCAGCGGCTAACAACGTTCCATTCTGCCATAGAGGAAATATTCAGGGTTACAATAGCAGCTGTAAAATGTTGGCATCGCCAAGGCACCCTCCTGTTAGTTTGGAAAGTTACTTGTAGTATGTGAACACCCTACATCACAATCTTAAGTATGTTATTTGCATATTCATTCTGCTCCTGAGACTTGCTTATAAATAAATGGGTTGAGATGCGGAGCTGTTTGGGTTCTCCGAATCTTCCTTTGGGGGCTAGTGGCTTGTTTTGTTTTTCTAAGTTTCGACTTCTTCAACGGGGAGAAGAGCTGTGTGGTTTCTTCCCTTCTTCCTTTTGTTACTCCTTAATAGCCCAATGAGAAGGGTATTCCCAGCATGTTAAAGTAAAGGTATGCATGTCTCCACAGCAACAAACAACATGGTCTGTTTTCTCTTGCTTCTCTTTTCCAGGAAGTGGTTCTGTATTGTTTGGAAAACAAAGTCTGTGATGTAAATCATCGTGACAATGCTGGTTATTGTGCCCTGCATGAGGCCTGTGCCAGAGGCTGGCTGAGCATTGTGCGACATCTCCTAGAATATGGAGCCGATGTGAACTGCAGCGCTCAGGATGGAACTAGGTTAGCAACACTTCAGTTACTAAGAGTAAATGGCCACTGCTTTTGTCCCGCATTAATACACAGCTGGGTTGATGTCACCAATGGCTTTGAAATTATGTTTAAAAGAAATGTCGCTTTTCTCCAACAGTTGAGGCCTGGAGTCTCTCAAACTTCCGGAACTTGCTAATTGCATTCTACTGCATAAAATTTGGTTCCTCAAAAAATGCTGTGTCCTCCTTTTGCAAATTTAGGCTGCATATCTATCCACATTTAAATCCTACTGGAAACAATATAGCCTGGTTTTGTGGGAGGTCCAGGTGGCTAGTCACTCACAATTCTTGTTCTGATATTTGAGAAACTATACTGGACAATAACATTCTGCTAAGAATTTCTGATATATTCCTCCCCTCACCCTACCTTGTACGCTTTAATTTTCTGTGTTAATTCTCTTTGTTATGTGCCTAACTCTTTTTCCATTAGGAAACTGTTTGTGGCTATAATTGTTATAGGAATAGGATCTCTTGCAGTTTTACTGAACAGTTGAAAGATACTACTTTTTAGTCCTGTTTATATCTTACTTATACTTCTAAATATCTTTTTAAATATCAAACTGGTCAAAAGTGCAAGTAATTTGTACACACACCTTATAATTTAGTGTACAACATTGCTTAATTTTACTCATTCTTAGTGATATGCAGGGAAATCACTTTCTTCAACCTTTTATCCTTCTACCCATGCCCTCTAATGGCGATGTCTTTTTCTAATTATTAAGTCCTTCCTCTTTTTCTTTTTGATTCACTAAACATTTCTGTGCATAATGTTGATAATTGTTGCTTTTAAATAATTGTTGCTTTTAAATTACTGTACTAAGATACAAGATGAAGGGTGCCTTTTGGAGTTCTTCCATTTGAATGTTTTATCATTTACCACCAAACCTGACAGCCCAAGGACATTAAATTAGCATGTCTGTGAGCCAAGAGCTCTTAAGTTATTGGTCTTTGCCTATCAACTTGCAATAGTCAAAAGATTTCAAGAAAACACACACCAAAGATTTAATCTTCGTTAAGGTGGCCTATTACTCTTGAGCACTCTGTCATTATCTCCTTATCAGTCTATAGGAGCATGCTTCCTGGAAGGAAGAACAGTGAAAGAGGCTTGGACAAGGGGGTCAGCCTCTTTTCTTTGGTCTTAGGCCCACCCCCTGGCCAGCCATCCATTGTCCTCTCTGGCCTAGGGTGGGTCAAAGGCCTGCCCAAGCAGGTGGGTGGCACCCGCCTAGGTGAGCCCTGCTCAGTGCTGCAAACCCCACCCACCTGTGGGGAAGGGAGGGTGGAAATTGTCCCTTCTCCCCATCTAACTAAATCTCTGAGGCTGGGCAGGCCCCCCCTGTGTGGGGTTTTTTATTGAGCGGGTCAAGCCACTCAGACCTCCTTAGCACCATAAAAAGAAGGTGCTTGTATCTCCTTGAAAACTGGAGATTTGGCAGCCACTTCTTTTCTATAATGTGCAAAGCTCCAGGACCATAATTCAGCAGTAGACAGCACCTGTTTTGCATGCAGAAAGTCTCAGGTTCAACCCGCCGGATAGGACGGGGAATGTCCTCCTGTCTCAGACCCCAGAGAGCTTCTGCTGGTCATCACATAGACCATACAGAACTAGATAGGCCTAATGGCCTGACTCTGGGTAAGGCAGCGGGTTCTTATGCTTCTACATTAGCACTGTTTCTTAACACCAGCTTCCTGAGCATTTCTTACATGGCTAAAGGTTGACATACCCTTTCACCTACCAAGCACCAGAATCTCTCATTGCTTAGTGCTAGGGTGCCCTCTACCTGCCCTCCCACGATGTAGGAGCAGCAACCACTGGATTAAGTACACACCCACCACCCTCCTTGCATGGGCCTTCCATTTCCATCCTTTGCTGCCGCATGATGTGCTGTGAAGTGGAGCTCAGCAGATGCATTTGTCTCCCTTTCCTGCTGGACCTGAGAGTCAAATCCGCAATGTTCTGCCTCTACATTTTCCTCTCCCATGTATTTGAACGTGACTTCCCTGGCTCCCCACTCCATCACGAAAGTGACACAGGCGACAGCAGGAAGGAAGTGCACATGTATGTCTGGGTTTAACGGTGCTCTTATCAAGGTAGCAGGCGCAGATTCAGAGCCCCCAAGCAGCAATGCAATGGTATTCTGCATTACTGGTTTGTTTTTTTTACTGTAAATCACTGCTTTGATATGGAAAACCAATGTATGAACCATCCTATGGCAAAGTGAATATGGCATCAGCAGTGCTAGCATTGCATAGAACGAGGTTGTGCAAACTCTGTAATTTGATGTTGACAAGGAAAGGAAATGCAAATTATCAGTGGGCATGTTTGGATTGGGGATCCCAGCAACCACAGAATTTAAAACAGGGGGAGAGGGTACTTTGAGATCTCAGCACAACTCTGTAGAACAGGCTTCCTCAAACTCGGCCCTCCATATGTTTTTGGCCTACAACTCCCATGATCCCTAGCTAGCAGGACCAGTGGTCAGGGATGCTGGGAATTGTAGTGTCAAAACATCTGGAGGGCCGAGTTTGAGGAAGCCTGCTGTAGAATCCATGCAATGGGACCACTTGGTGCAAACCACATTGCAAGGTTTTGTACGTCCACCAGCTGTGGTATAGAAATCCTGTGTCCATGCGCTGTTTTCAGTGATGAGAGTTTGTCTTCCAAGATTCACATGCCATCCCCACAACAGCTACTCTCCTGGAACTATAGTATTCTGGGAGCTGCCGTCTCCCGAGAATGAGCCTAGCAAGCATATTGTGGTCTCCAGGCTGGCACTTCTCCTCATATTTGTGACTTAAGTGTGTAGCAGTGATGTCTTGCACAGAAAGGCATCGGTATTAGCCTTCAAACAGCTGCTAGTAGTCAGTTTATCTTGACCTATTAAGTCCTCTTTGTCTTGGGCCCAGCAGGCCGATCAAACACTCCTCTCTCTCTCTCTCTCTCTCTCTCTCTCTCTCTCTCTCATCTCTCTCAAGATTTGCCAAAGAGGCCCCACCCTACTAAAAAGCTAATATCATTTCAAGGGGGAATGTCTGTGAAGGAGCAGATCAAGGCTGTCTTCTTTCTTTAGAGACAGGTCTTCCAAGTATGGCTTTTGTTGCACTTCGATTGTTTTCATTCAACAGAGATTATGTATATAAAATGCAATCAGATTCACTCGTTCAACAGAGATTATGTATATAAAATACAATCAGAATCTATCAGGTCCTTGACTGTTCTGAATTTTAAAGAAACAGGAAATAAATTCAGGCTCCTCGCAACAATTTGTCACTGCCCCAAGGAGTGGGCAGAAACACCCTCCCATGTTCCTAGTGAGTCGTGCCTTGTTGTCCGGATAAGCCCCAAAATGGTTGGTGTGTTGAACAGCGTGTGTAGGATTGCATCCCAAAATCATCCACATATAGGAGCTGGGAGAAAATCCAGTAGGGTTTTCTGCCCTGTTCCATCTGACGTGCAACTTGATCTGTCCTCTGTAAGTGTCCTTGAGAGTTTTGAGAGTTCTCATCGGATGTCTTTCTATTTATCTGTAATCTTGAACCTTTCGTGCACTTATCAGAGTGGGAAGTGGAAGGACCCCAGCTTCTCATTCCCTACTTTCACAATCCCACTCCCCTTCCGGGCGGTTTTAAAATTTGCTGTTGAGATGCATTTGTTTTTATGAAATTCCTAATTCCCTTCACAGTAACAAATGCATGTGCTTGGAATGAGCTACCATCTCACTCAGATTCACATTGATTTGGCTACACATGCTGAAAAGCCACGACTCATCACGCCAGGCTACTTATGCCTTTCATTTCCCCCAACCTGGTGCCCTCCAGATGTTTTGAATTAAAACTCATTAGCCCCAGCCAGGAGTTGTAGTCCAAAACACATTTGTGGCTGGCAGGACCGGGCTATGTTGCTTCCAAACACTGCACTTCACTGCCAGTTACTGAGAAGAGGAGCGGCAAGGCGTGTGTGTATGTGTGTGTGGTGTGGGCTGCAGCATCAGGAACATCTGCATCCACACTGAGCTCCCCTGCCGCCTTGTCCCTCCCTCTTGCAGCTGCAGCTGCCAAACACATCTGGAGGGGAGCAGGTTTGGCTGCATTTGACCCACTGGCTTCTCCTTCTCTCCTTTCCCATTTCATCAGTGAAATAACCTATTGTTATCAATTCATATATTTGCATACTGCTTAATAGTAAATCAGTTTCTAAGCAGTTTACAAAATAACAAATGACAGCATGTATATATATAACAAACAACGAACCTGGAAAAACTAGTATTATACAATACAAAACGACAACACAGTGCCATATAAAACAAAATCTACCCAAAGCAAAAACCCAGCAGCATGTTTTGGAAAAAATCTTAAGTGTTAGGGACTGCTTCCCTCTTCAGCCTCCCTCTTGCCATTTTCACTTTGTGATTGGCAGCTGTGTGTGTTAAGGGTTAGGAAGATGAATGTGATTTTTTAAATGGGCAGTTTTCAAGCAGCTTGTGGGGGGCAGGTCTCACCTTAAAAGTTGGGTATCATAAAAGTGTCTTCAATTCACCCCACGCCACCCCAAGGAACTAGACTTTTTCACAGGAAAGTATACATATTCTACTTACTTACAACTATGTATGACTCGTTTTATATATTGGTATATATTTTTTCTAGGCAATACTCTTCCATTTATTATGCCTCTCATAATTATATATTATATTATTATATTATATTATATTATATTATATTATATTATATTATATTATATTATATTTATTATCCTGTTGCCCTGACCTTCCATGTTAATATCTCTGCACAGCAATCATGATGGCAGATAGATTTAGCCCATTTTCCTTTAAGAGAGGAACATGGCAAAACGCCTTCGTGTTTTTTTCTTACTGTAGGTCTGCTGGCTCATGAGCTGACATCCTGTAACAGCTAATTTTTATGAGAGGAGCGGGGTGGGACATTGCCACTAGGTTACACCCAACCTAATGTTCTTCAGGGGAAGCCTTGCACTGAGATATTAAAAACCGCCAACCGAATCAAGAGGTCACTTATGTCATGTGAAATATCTTGTCCGGTAAATGGACCAGGGCAATTTAGCTAGTGGTGTGTGTAGAGCTTCATGGGAAGGGCCTAGCTTGATAAACTTGTTTTGGATGCCAGGGGCATGGGAAGTTGTAATTGAAGGTATGGCATCTGAGCATATGCAGAGTGCCTTTCCCTTAGCACTCAGTGACTTCCCTCCCCCACTATATATATTTGGATTCTAGATCAAAAGGTTCAGCTTCCCCACAGCTTAAACTATGGTGAACTGCATCCCACTCGCACAACCATTGCTCAATTTCTGTTTCTGTATGGATATTTAACTTCTCTGCAACCTGATACTGAAGCTGCCCTGTCCTGTTTGATGCCCCAAAAGACCACTGTGCTTCTTTGGTGCTTGGTAGCTGCTGTAGATTAAATGAACCAAAAGATGGTGTTGTGCATGTAGTCTCAACCATTAAGAAACTTAAAATGAGTTTACCTAGCTATGTGGTCCAATATTATCTAGTCTTATATTTACTTTAGGGTGGCTTTATTATTACTTGCTGGATATATAAAATGTTTGCTAGTATAATCTCTCCCTTGCCCCCTTGCTCCTGTTGTCGCTTTCCATTACTTCTAAGTTTGCTCCCCATTCAGTTTTACGTAGCCTCTTTCCTGTCCTCTGGCTCTCATACACTAAGATGGAGCCTGTCAATGGGGTCAGGAAATCCAGACAACTTGGTTAGCCACTGGTTGGTGTGTGTGTGTTAAGAGAGATTGGGTTATGAGGCCTGAAGAGCAGCTGCTTCCTGTGCTGGCTGCCTGCAACAGCTGAGATAGGAAGCAGTTCTTGCAGGTCGTGAGGCTGGTGGGAGGATGAATGAAGCTACAGCCTAGGAAAGGCAGCTGCTGTTGAGAGTGATGTGATCTCTATAGGCAGGGAGCTGGGGAGCGACTGCAGTAGAACCGACTCTGTGTGCCGCAGCCATAATGGGAACTCAGGCCAAGTCTTCCCCCAGAGGAATTACCATGAGCACAGCAGGGTCTTTCAGTATCTCCCCCTCTCTTAAGCCTGAGCAGGTGTGCATGCCTTGTGGTCTTGAGGTACTCCTGTTTTCTGTACCAGAAAAAAACCTGCTCTCTCGTTTAAAACTGGGAGAAAGCACTCGCTAGATCAGAGTTGCACAGATTTGCTGGATAAATTTTGCCCTTTCTAGAAGTGGCAAGGACTGGGATTTCTAAAGCGTTCCCCCAGTTCATAGGGGCATCCAGTTTTTGCTTTCGTCGGCCTTGTTTTGCTGGTCACCAATCTAAAGGTTGCAGGCATCTCTCTGTCTCTGAATGGCATGATGCCCATATGCACTTCTGGGGGGAATTTGTGCAAAATACGTGTGTTGCTGCTTCATTGCACTGGTGTAGATGCTTTGCCAGGCCATTAAGGTTGTCTGCTTAGCTCCCTGTGCTGCTGCGTTTGCCTCCTATACAGCAAATGTGTGGAAGACAGTTGTATATTCAGTGCACAGCAGCCCTGAACAATTTGCCATTCCCAAACAAATGCAGCCCCCCCAGCTCTGCATGCTGCCTGCCAATTTCTTCACAATCCCGTTTTTACTATCCTAGGCAAACAGCGAGAGCAGGAATTTTATTGTCTCCCTAGTTGGTGGCTTTCAAAACCTGTGCTGCTCTGCTTATAGCAAATCTGTATATAGCTCATAACTTCCTACTTTCTGTGCATTTGAAGCTTAAGACCTCAGCCCTAAATAAAAGTGTGTGTGTGAAAATCTTAGGAATTATTGTGCATTTAGAGTTGGCACATTATGTTCTGAAATAGCTCAGCTGGTAGAGCATGAGACTCTTAGTTTCAGGGTCATAAGTCTGAGCCCCATGTTAGGCAAAAGATTCCTGCATTGCAAGGGGTTTGACTAGATGACCCTTGTGGTCCCTTCCAACTCTTATGTTTCTATGATTTCAGGAATGTTGCTCTCCTAAGCTAGCTCCAGGTTTTTATGTGCAGGAAGGAGGCTGGCAGTAGAGCCTTCCAGTCCTATTTTGTTATCAGACATATGGGGAAAACTAAAAAGTTTTTTTGAGTGTTGAAAGTGTTTCCCCTTGCATTTGTATCATCACAGCCAGCTTCATATCCAAGTCTAACACTGATGATCATGGCCATATACGCACACACATACACAAATGCACCCTGTACACACATACACCCACACCCACACCCAGACCACCATGCATAGCCCTGTACAACAATTTTATTAAGTGACCTCAAGGTACCAAACATGGAAGCTGAATAGAATTCGGTGGTTGTTAAAAATGGGAGTTTGTTTAAAAGATGAGATTGAAGTTACTTGGTCAAAGTGATCACAGTAGGGATTAATCTCTGATGCCTATCTTTAAGGGAGCATGCCATTTAATATAGTATGTGTATTCATTTGCCATGTAAGCTTTGTTTACTTCCTGAAGTTAACATTTCATTTTAAAATGTTGAGACAAGCAATTAGTAGATGGTCACCCACCATACCTTATGATAAAGATAATGGTGTTTTTGCTTCAGATGGAAACAAAACATGTCTCGGTACAGTACGTGAATTTGAAACGAAGGTGTCCTTTCCCCCTTCCTGCCCCCAGGCCTGTTCATGATGCTGTGGAAAATGATCACCTGGAAATTGTCCGATTACTACTTTCGTATGGTGCTGATCCAACGCTTGCAACATACTCTGGTCGAACGATTGTGAAAATGACACACAGCGAACTAATGGAAACGTTTCTAACAGGTGTGCAACACTATTACTTTGTTTCTTTGTTTATGGAAGTCATCGGTCAGACTACTGACTAGGGCAAGACAGTCGAAGCCTATAAAAGCAATTCTGGTATGACTGCAGTGGATACCAATTAGTTTCTGGGTTCAGTTCAAAGTGCTTGTTTTTACTCAAGATCCCAGTACCCAAATTGCTGCTTCTCTGTGGAGGAACTTACCTGGGCCTGTGTTTGACTTTTGAGGCAAACCTCTGAGGGAGGTGTGGAGGGTAGCAGCACGGGAATGGGCCTTTTCATTGGTGGCTCCCTGCTTGTGGAATGCTGTCATAAGGGAGGCCGGCCTGATGCTGTCAGTATCCATTTTTAGATGCTAGGCAAAAACATTTCTATTCACTCAAGCTTTTTGCCTCTTAATATGGAGGGTATTAAGTATATCTCTCTTTTTTGCTCATCTTAGTGGATTGAGTTCATCTGCCACATACATGGTGTGCTCTTTAGGTTTTTATTTCTGCTTTGTTTTAATGTTTGCTTTGCGATGTGAGACTCTTTGGGTCATTTTTTGGTGAAAAACGCAACTAATAAATGCAACAGGTAAATAAATAATTTTCTACCAAAGTCGATGATTCACCTTAGGGAACAGCAATACAAACTCAGGCTGTAAAATTTAGTCCATTAATTGGTTAGTTTAGAACAGAAATACAGGTCTTTTAGGACTTCAGAAGCACTGTTATGAAAACATAACCACTATGTTATATAATAATATGCCATTGGATTTAGGCTGCAACCATCAATACATTTATGAGAGAGCCAGACCCAGGATTGTGCTGTTAGCGGCATTAAAAGATGCAATACCAACAGCTTGGTCTTGCTAGCAGGTCAAAGGGTCTTTCCCACCCATCTGGCAAAAGTGGTGAGGGTAAAATTACAATCCTTTGGGGCTCTGGTGGGATGAAATGCAAAATTCAGGGGAGTTTACAGCAAGAAGGCAGAGATTTACTATGGTCCATATGCTTCTTTTCCTTCCTGCCCATCAAAGCTTCATGCAGCTGGGAGTATTTGAACCATTTTCTACAGAGCAGCCCAGCTCACTGTAATAGGCTTTGTTTCCTTTCCTTTTTTTAAAAAACAAAATAAAATCCTGCCTATTTAAAAATGTTACTTCCAAGGGTTACTTTTGAGGCAGTTAAGAATTAAAACAAAACAAAATAATAAAACCTAATCAAAACCAGCAATAATAAATAAATAAATAAATAAATAACAAGCAGTATAAAATCAAAGAAAAGCAGGCCTGGAGCAATAAAACAAGGTACAAGCAGACGGAATTGATACTCTGAAAGGTCAAATCAGATGCTGTTCAAAAGCCTAAGGAACATGACTTGATATTGCCTGGTACCTAAAAGATAATAAGGAAGATGTTAAGCACATGTGCTGGGGAGGGACTTGCAAAGTTTGGGCACAGCCACTGAAAAGGTCCCCTCTCTGGTAGCTACTCCTCTAACCTCAGAATAATGTAGGGATGTCTGGAAAAGTGTCTCTGAGGCTGGGTGAGTTCATATAGAGCACATGTAATCTATAGCAAGATTAATCTAAGGTCATTGTAGCCTCTGTGTTCAGAGGCTGTTATAGGAATGTGCCAAATGAGAATGCCGAGGACAGGAATGGAAAAGGACAGAAGAGATAAGTAGGTGGAAACAGGAGAAGGGTTTTAGAAAGGAAGTAAGATGAGAGATAGTGTCTCATTTGGGCATCTGTAGTGGACTGATCAATAAAACAGATTACATTGTATTCGAGAGCTTTGCAAAAGCAAAACTTCTTAGAGTATGAATATTGTGACGCTTTATGACAAGATTGTCTGCAAAACTTGCCGACATTTTGTTTTGACTAAATTTGTTGTTATTGTTGCTGCCCCTAGAGTACTTAACTGACCTGCAAGGTCGAAGTGTCGATGACCCTGGCTTGTCCTGGGACTTCTATGGCAGCTCTGTGTGCGGTGAGCAAACATTCCTTTTTTGTATTATGCATGGGGTTTTTTGTGTGGGTGGGTGTATAGGAGGTGCAGGTGGAAAGCCACGCAAGATGCACATTTTACTGTATGTTTCACGCTGGTTCTAATTTCTTTTTTTCTTTTTCTTTTAAATAGAGCCAAAGGGGGAAACAGGTTTTGACATCCTATCTAATCCACCTGGCTCAAGTGATGAGGATGAAGATGGTCTTAGTGACATCTTTGAGTTTGAATTTTCAGATGTACCTCTGTTGCCATGCTATAACATCCAAGTGTCTCTTTCTCAAGGGTAAGGAAATGGAGATGGTATAAATATTTGAGGTAGTTGTGAAGTCTTGTAATTTTCATGTAGCATCTCCAAATGGGCTTTGTGATTCTTTTGTCATTGGTTTTGGTGGAAATGGGCTTTGGCTTGCATTTTTTATTTATATTCAGCTTCTGGGAGGGTACAATCCACCCATTGAAATTGTTTGTGCATCTCTCTTGATGATTTTGTGTGTCTGTATCTGCATGGATTGTGTGCTGACTTAGAGCTACATGCAGAACAAAATCCACTCCTGTATTTCGAACTGTTATTAAATGTCCCCATTCCTGTCAACTGGCTACTTAAGAGTTCTTTTCACATTTTTGCAAGGTCCAAGTAAAGTATACAGCATTGACTGCCTGACATAGAGCTCTTTCTCGCCAATATCGCAAAAAAAGGGAATGTGGCCAGTTACGCAGTTATTACTGACATAATTGAAATGACTGAAGCCCTTGTGCCATCTTACTGGTAATTTGAACTTCTTTCTTTACTTTGTTCTATAGACCACGGAATTGGTTGCTGCTTTCTGACGCAGCAAAGAGGCTGAAAATGTCGCCCCGGATATTTCGTAGCAGTTTCCCAAGCGTGGAAGTTGTCAGCATCATGGAGGCGGAATTTTTCAAACAGGTATCTTTGAGTCAGCTGTTCTCTTGCCAAAAGGATCTAGAAGCTTTCAACCCGGAAGGCAAGGAAATGCTGGACTTGGTGGAATATACAAGTGAGCTACAGACTTTGCTGGGAGCTTCACTCGAGTGGTTGCATCCAGATGAGGATATGGATCATTGGTGAACTTCCAGGCCGCTTTAATGTACAGTTCTCTGTAAAGTTATGTCTTTATGTATATGTGTTAATGCCACCATTTCTGTAAATAAAGGACACTGTTAAATAAGATACCTTTCCTTTATATACATATTATAAATATATAAATAAATTCCAGATGGGTGGACTTTTGGAAGATTTCTTTTTCTTTTTTTTTTAGAGATGTCATTCAGTTTTTACAAATTGTTATATAATATTCCTTCAAATGCACACAAACTTTGGTATAAATTTGTTTTTACTTGGGACTTTTTTTTAAATAAAGGAAGTGGTTTTGCTTCACACAAAGCTTTGGTTTCACAGGAGATGCCTGTGACAGGCAGTGTGATCAAAGTCATGTGGTTGTCTTGGGAGACTGTATTGGGTAAGGCACTTCATAAAATTTTCATTTTTGTTTACAAAGTTGCCTGCTTTGGCCAGGTAAACCCTATTGAATATAATTCAATGGACTGTAATATAAATTTAAAACATATCCATGCGCATCAGCTAGTTGTGTGAACTTTTATATCTTAATTTAAAAGATGTGAAATTTAGTTTTCACAAGGCAAACTGGATTGTTTATATATATATATGTATGTTTAAACATTTGATGCTCTTTATTTAAAAGAAGACTTTGAACTATTTTTTCTGTATCTTGTAAAATATTGAAAACTAACATATGTTGAGGTTAAAACTGTACAGAAGCTAAATCTTTTCTGAATTGTGTGTTTATGTTTGAGATCCGTGTTTTAACTTTGTAAGTAAATTCTTCTGCCTTTGTATTTATATTTTACAAAAAAAAAACCTTAAAGGCAATAAAACTGTTGAAAACTATATTGATGTAACTTGGTTTTGTGCATGACCCTATCCAACCCCAGCTGGCACCCATGCCTTCATAGGAGTAAAGCTGCACCAGAAATTTCCCATATCCCCCAGCTACTCCTTATGGTACAGGTTTGTCTTCTAAAAACACCTTGTCACCATTTTGAATAGAGCAGAACTGGGCAGTGTTGCAGTTTCAAAACTCCTGGTGGTCACAGTGCAGTGACAGAAGGAGAGGTACCTTTTAGCCTTTGTTGTCAAAAGGCAGCAGCGGAGACAGGAAGTGCTGCCCCCAGTGCCACACTGCCAGGGCTGGAGTCAGATGCAGGTCAGCAATAAAGGAAGCAGATCTCTGTTGTCAGTGAAGTTTTTTAACTGTTCAAGGAAATGAACATACACTCAGCCTAGTGGCCTCAGCAGCACTTCCCAACAGGCCTTGCCCCTACAGAGCAGTTGCCAGGACTGAAGGTCCTCGCCTTCCACACCTTTCTAAGCCGCCTCCTCTCCTGGGTGTTTCCCAAGCAGCCTCAAAACTGTGTCTGTGCACCTCTGGCTTCCGTTCAGCTCTTTGCATTGCTCTGGGAGTCCTTAGAGACCAAGGGGGAGGGGAGTTTTTGGCAGCAGGAGCCCCTGAGCGGCAGCCCTTCCCCAACTAGTTGCTTGCAGGGTTGCCTTCCTAAATCGTACAGGTTATCTAGGATGTAAACATGTGCTTCTCTGTTTTACAATGTACTAATTCAGGCTAAACTTAAGCTAACGGGAAACTTTACCTGGATTATTGGGTATTTCCATTGAAGCAGGGCTTAAGTTAAGAAAACCCGCAATTGGCTGTAGACTAGTCCCAGTGACTTTGCTGTATTTATTTCAGATTACTGTACGGCTTGGTTGCTGCAGTGTTAGAGCAGAGGTAGCCACTGTGTTGCTCTCCAGATCATAGAATTGTAGCATAGGAGCCAACCCCTAGGGGCTTTGGAGGGCTTTGCCACCCACAAAATATTTGAGGGAGACAGCCCCCCAAACTTGATGGGCATTGTCATTCAAATAGTGAGCATGCACGTGAGGTGGGGCTTACTTAGGCCTCCCCCAATATTTTATTCAAGTTGGCACCCCTGAATTGTAGAGCTGGAAGGAACCCCAAGGGTCATTTAGTCCCAACACCCTGCGGTGCAGGAATAAATGTGAACTACAACCCCCATAACCCCCAGCCCGGCTGGTCAATGGTAGTGGACTATGTGTGAGTTCACACCATTGGGAGGGCACCACATTGGCTATCTGACCTAGAGTATTATTTTTCTACAACTTAGTACGCAATTGCAGAAGCAGCGGTTCGAATCCGCTCTACAGGGTGAGCTCCTGTTGCTCTGTCCCAGCTCCTGCCAAGCTAGGAATTTGAAAGCACACCAGTGCAAGTAGATAAATAGGTGGTTCTTCTTTGGCAATCACTCGTAGCCGAGTAAGATTGTCTTCCATAAAATCGGTCTTAACAATGAGTCCGTAAGTGACTGTGGAGGCCAATTCTGGATCCACACATGCTTCCACAGTGGGGACTTTGTTTTCTGGGCGGGAGTTGTTTACGGTGTGGATTTGCCAAGCATGCCTTCCTCTTAGCACGTTTCTCCCTTGCGTCCTGAGTTTGAGTGTCTTCAAAGCCCATGACACCTTTGGTAAAGGCTGTTCTCTAATTGGAGCGCTCGCAAGCCAGTGTTTCCCAGTTGTCGGTGTTTATACTACATTTTTTAGATTTACCACTGCAGCAGGAAGGTAAATGGCGTTTCTGTGCGCTCTGGCTTCCATCACGGTATCCCGTTGCGCCAGAAGCGGTTTAGTCATGCTGGCCATATGACCCGGAAAGCTGTCTGTGGAGAAACACTGGCTCCCTTGGCCTAAAGCGAGATGAGCGCTGCACCCCACAGTCACCTTTGACTGGACTTAACCATCCAGTCCTTTACCCTTTACCTTTTTTAACCTACGCAATTGTAGGAGCATTGTAGAAGATTAGCTACGGAGAATGTCGAGCAGCAGTAATGAGAAAGGAAGAAATTGCAGAATGCCCAGGTATTTCCTATGGCAAGAGCCACCCACAATCACTGCATTAGGTATGAACCACAGTTCTGCCACTAAATAGATTTTCCTTTTGTTGTCACATTAATTTGCAACTCATTAATTGTGACAGAACTGAGGTGCTATGCTGATGCAAATTTGCATATTCATGAGTAACTTATTAAACAAACAAGATCTCCCTGGCCTTGGGAAGTGCCCAAAGTAATGCTTCACAGTACATCACACAGCCTTGGATGGTTCATTCTCTCTTTATTATGTTAATAGATGCATCTGGTTTAAAGAAAAAAAGTAAATAACCTGTGATTTAAAAATTCAGAATCATTTAAACAATCCAGTTGACATGACTGACCATAGCTTCCCAAAATGTGTACACATTCCTAGGCATCCTCAGAATTAATTTGAAGGTGAGATATAAATGCCTACATTAAATAATTAAGTGAATGAATGAATAAATAATGCACATAGTAAAATAGTTGCGTGTGCGTTCTTCATGCATGGCATACATGCATTGCTCATCTTATTTCCTATACGCAACTGATCTCCACATAGAAAAACTATAGGATATCTATACAGAAGAAAGGATCATTATGTGAGGCATTCCTTCCGGGGATAAGCATATCTGCTTCTCTTTTTCTTTAAAGGCACACAGAAAAACGGTCTTTCATTAAGGTTTGTACTGATCTTGTACAAATCAGGGAAACAAGGTAAGAAGAGAGAAAGGCAGAAGGGAAGTACAATAGCAGCACATGGAGACAGAGAATATACATCTCTTGCCATGTGCACAGGAAGGTGCTGAGGTGTCCCTTGATTCTAGCCCAGGGTTCAGCAACCTTTTTCAGCCATGGGCTGGTCCACCATCCCTCAGACCATGTGGTGGGCCAGACTATATTTTTTGGGGGGAAGGGAACGAATTCCTATGCCCCACAAATAACCCCAGAGATGCATTTTAAATAAAAGGACACATTCTACTCTGTAAAAACACGCTGATTCCTGGACTGAGAAGGCGATTAGGCCACATCCATCCCTGGGCCTTAGGTTGCCTGTTCTAGCTGATGCTTAGCTTGGCAAAAGCATTGAGCATACCACTAACACAGAGTACCGCCAAAGGGGAAACATGGGACTTCCAGACTGCAAAATGATCATTTTGGCCGCCAAAACAGCTCTTTGAATCTGATGCTCTAAACAGAAAGATATCCCAGGTTTACAAAGAGACGGCTCGTCAAAGAACATAGTACTACTTTAGGACCAAAATTGTACTACTTTAGGATGCCCCCCCCCAAACAAGTGAACCAAATGGCCATTATTAATCTTCACAGCAACTCTAATAATCTTTATTGCTCAGCTGGTTTAATTTAATAGGCCCCAATGTATCTGGAATGCCATTTTGGGGTGGATAAACTTTGAAATTCAAATCTAGGGTCGTTAATTTTATAGATTCAGTGGGAAAATGTTCTGCAGTCTTCTGAACTGGAATAGTTAATTGCAAAGTCCACTGGTTATGTAGATAGTAAGTTGTACATACCAGTAGTTTGTTTTCTAATAAATTGTACATTAATATTGTAGGATCTGAAAGCATTTCAAGAGAGGAGAGAGAAAAAGAGGGCAGTATTCTGAAGCCCCACAAATTTCAGGGGCATATTTATCAGCCCACCAGACCCTGACAGTAAATTGAATTCAGGTTGCAAGAGTTCAGATTTAAAATTGTCCCCATGTCTGATTAATTGAGATAAAGTTATATGGTCACAAAATCTTTCCAATAGTTATATCTGCTGCATGTCCAACAGGTAGATCGTGATCTACCAGTAGATCAATGGACGTCTACGGTAGATCACTGGTAGATCATTGGCTCCCCCCAAAGAAGCTGAACAACTGTGGCTCCCCTTAAAACAGCTCAACATTTTACCTCCTCCCTGAAAAAACTCAACAACTTTGACCTGAACCCAAAAAAAGGGGGTAGATCACTGCCAGTTTTTAACTCTATGAGTAGATCGCAGTCTCTTGGGAGTTGGCCACCCCTGGTCTAGTCCATAAGTATATAAGGATTAAAACCCTAATGACCTACCCACTGCACATTCAGTCTTAGGACTTGGAGTTTGACACTAAGGGTCAGGCAAGATACAATGCAGGAGATCCAATATCATAAGTCCTGGGGCCCCGAAACTGGACCAAGTGCCCAGTGCTGAGCAGAGAGAGGGTTATCCTTTCCCCTGCACCAATTTGAAAAACTTAAAAGCTAATTATTAGCCACAGAGTGGAGAAAAGGATTCCCTCTTCAATGGCAAAGCTTCAAGGGAGCTTTATTTTATTTTAAAAGGTATACAGCACCCTTTGTCAGAACTGAGAAAATGCAGCAGCAGGGAAAGGACCACAGCCCTGATTGAAATATCTCTGGTCCCCGCACCTCAATCCCTGGCTGGAGCTGTTTTTAAGTGTTGGGATACTAGGTTATCCAAGCATGGATCTCCCCCAACATGCCAGCTAAGGCCCACAGTTATTCAAGAGGGCCCAGTCCCAAGTCATAATCTGTTTGGCGTCTCTTCAAATTATCTTGTAGCTATTTCTCTTTGAACCTGGACCCAAGCAGGAACAGGGCTGCTAAGCATTCTTTTCATCCTTCCCAGCCCACAGAAGGCACCTTGCAAAACTCCTCTCACTGATCCTTTCCTTTTTGGCCGAGCTGTCAAATGATACAGGATCAACTCTTCGAAGAGAGTTTCCAAACGACCTGATAAAAAAGGCCTTTCGTTTTTATCAGCGCCTATTTTTAGACTCCCCCTGACAAACGTGTGTGCTCTTTTCTATTTTAGATTGCCGGAGCCTGCAGCCTTTGAAGTAGCCGTGTGTGGATCAGCACTCCTAGGCTGCTGACGGCAGCTGAACAAGCGCAGCCACCAAAACCGAGAGCGGAGGGCTCAGGGTGATAAAAAGAGAGCTTCGGGATGGGTTCTGCAACATCTGGCCGTGAGGTGGCACGGCAAGAGCAAGAGCGGAGGGGAGAGTCAGAGCAAGGAGTTGAAACAAAGGCAGGAATAAAATGCTGCTCTTTCATAGGGAACTCTGTTGCAAGCTGCCGGAGCATACAAACAACAATACAGTGGTACCTCGGGTTACAGACGCTTCAGGTTACAGACTCTGTTAACCGAGAAATAGTACCTCGGGTTAAGAACTTTGCTTCAGGATGAGAACAGAAATTGTGTGGTGGCAGCAAGAGGCCCCATTAGCTAAAGTGATACCTCAGGTTAAGAACAGTTTCAGGTTAGAATGGACCTCCGGAACAAATTAAGTTCTTAACCCGAGGTACCACTGTACTGCTGTGTGCCTGTGTGGATAGCTCAGTTGGTTAGAGCGTGGTGCTGATAGTGCCAAGGTTGCAGGTTCAATCCCAATATGGAACAGCTGCATAGCCCTGCATTGCAGGGGGGGTTCAACTAGATGATCCTCAGGGTCCCTTCCAACTCTACAATTCTGTGATTCTATGTGGCTTTTGAACATTCAAAATGATTCACTTATATACAAGAAATATGCAAAAAGTTTTAGAAGTCACCCCAGAACTGGACCTGCTAAACACCTTCCAAGACAATAATGCCCACTCACATCACAAAGAGCTCATAACCCACCTACTTTCAGCAGCCAGAAACATCATAGGCAGACACTGGAGAGACCTGTCAGGAGCAAGCATAAACCAATGGTATCAAATAGTACAGCCATACCTCAGGTTACAGACGCTTCAGGTCGCCTTTTTTTGGGTTACGGACCCGCCAAAACCCGGAAGTACTGGAACAGGCTACTCCTGGGTTTCGGTGGTCACGCATGCACAGAAGCACTGAATCGCAACCTGCGCATGCGCAGACATGGCACTGCGAGTTGCGAACGCTGCAAGTTGTGAACATGCCTCCCACACGGATCACGTTCATAACCCAAGTGCCCACTGTATGGGAAACAGCCTTATTAGAAAAACTAACCAACAAACTGAAACTGACATGGGGACAAATAGAAGACGCCGCCTTCACCCCGGTATGGCTCCCTTTTATCACATACACAGCCCAACAAGACAACAACAACAGCATTCAAATCAGTATGGCTAACCTGATTCAAACACCCCCTCCCCACTTACACATGAAAACTTATTTCACTACAGCCAATCAAAGACAACCAACCGCACCCTAGACCACCCCAACCTCTCTCACCACCAAAGAAATACAAGTGAATAGTAAAGAGAACCCACACAAGTGACGCTGACACAAAACCCCACACATACACTAAGTAGAACAGAAGCATTGCCAACTGACCCCACCCCACTCACCATTCCCCCCTCCACCTCTTGCCCCCTTTTCTTCCTAACGTAACACTAATGTCTCACAACAAATGAAACTGATCTGTAGAAAACGTAACTTGCACATACTTTTGTAAACCAAGAAATATATATATATATATATATATATATATATATGAGATTCACTTACATTATCTCAGTCTTGCTTGCAACAGCCCAGTAAGGAGGCCAGCCCAGGATTACTGTCTCCATTAGCTGACAGGGGTGGGACTGAAGAATAGCCACTTGATGAAGGCTAGCCAGCTGAGGAAACAGCCCAGATGAGATTCAAACCAGCACTATGCCATTGTTGTGCTTCATTCCCAGGATATTCTTGCCTGCTCCAAATCCTTTCCACAGACTGTCCCAATGAATCCCATGGAACCCTAGCCAGTGACTCACTGACTACAGTTTGAAAACTTCTGGTGTATACAAGATGGAAATGGACTGTTTGGGCAGTGTCCTATGAGATTTATTTTAGAAGCCTGTTTTCCTTCCTTCCTCCCAAGAGCCAAAAGAAAAGCGTATCATCATTGTTTTGAAAGGGAGAGTTAAATCACAGTTTCAGAAACAGCTGGACACCTCCCTCTCTTCATGTCCAATTACACATATACTGGGCTGAAAATAGGGAAAGAAATTTACCCAGCAGCTAATTTGTTTGCAGTTTGCAGCGAGAAATTTTAATTTTTTTAAAAAAAGCTCATTTAATCACTTTTATTGCTTGCTTCAAAATCCTATCTCTTCTCTGTATGGGAGATATTGAAAGGATATTGAAAGGAGACTGGACACCTACCAAAGGATTTGCATGGACAAATTCACAGCTGAAAAAACACAGTTTTGGAATTTATACCTGGAATATCACAACAGCCCTAGTTTTAATCTAGAAACAATGGTAACTCAGGGCAGCCACACAAAATTGTTTATCTGCCGCTATGGTTTGTCAAGAAAAATAAACAAATTACGCTGGAATGAAATAAAAATATATCCATCTGGGCCTCGGGCTGTTAAAACAATTGTGCTTCTGTGCTAATTTACAGCCTCTGTTGCAGTTGCAGCAGGGATTAAAAAACATTGGCAAGATTAGGAGGTGATTAGAAAACTTTATTACCAAGATATGTGTATGCAAGGGTCCTGGAAGCTACCCTTTCTTAGGAAAGAGCTGTAAGCCCAGCAGCATGGAGAAGGTGGTTGGATTATAACACTGTAAAGCTGGTCTTGCAGCAAAAATGAAATAAAATAAAAATAAAATTAAGTATAATATTGAAAATGTTAGTACAGAGAGTACAATTACTATTATTTATTTTTTATTTATTGAATTTATCTACCTCCCTATACCCGCAGGTTTCAGGGCAGTTCACAGAATAAAATCACTTCCAGCTTCTCCTGCTAAATATTACTAAGCAGAGCAGTTGGGTAAATCTTTGCTGGGCCATGTTCCCCAGATCTGGACCCAACTAAATCCCATAAAGTTTTCTAAATATGCATTTTGCCTCTCAGTCTGTGGTTTATTGAAAAAGCCCTGGGGCCAGAGCTATGTAAAAGAATCACTTCAAGCCCAGCTGATACAAGTGAAGGCAAAGGTGTTATCTATAGTGTTACTTTATAGACCTAGGCCTGTCTGCACTAACTATTTAAAGCAGCATAATACAATTTTAAGCAGCCATGGCTTCCTGCAAATAATCCTGGGTACTGTATTTTGTTAAAGGTGTTAAAGGGAGTTGTTAGGAAGTCCCCACAATTTTCAGAGTGGTTCAACAATCAATTCCGGTTGCTTGGGAATTGTAGTTCTCTGAGGGGGAAAAGGGTCTCCAAACAACTCTCAGCATCCTTAACAAACTACAGTGCCCAGGATTCTTTGGGGGAAGCCTTGAAAAAAGAAGTGGTATGATACTGTTATAAATTTATAATACAGATGGGCATTAAAAAGAAAGAAAAAAAATATGAGAGGGCACAAACTGTGTAGGGAAGATGGGATCGAGTATGCCCACTCCATTCCTGATCTTTGCATGCTGAGTGCAAAGAGTTGTAGGGAAAGTCTACATCCTTTGCAATCCTGACCATGTGGTAGATTTTAAGTGAGTCAGCGGACAGTACTTAAAGGTAAAGGGACCCCTGACCATTAGGTCCAGTCATGGCCGACTCTGGGGTTGCGGTGCTCATCTCGCTTTATTGGCTGAGGGAGCCGGTGTACAGCTTCCGGGTCATGTGGCCAGCGCCACCCATGTCCCGCTCGTACTTAGTACTTAGTACAGTACTTAGAATACCCCTATAGACCCTCACACTCAATGCACAATGATTGGGAGTGTAAGCCACCCCTCCACACAACCCCACACACTGCACACAATTTGTGCCTCACATGTTCTTTCATATTCCCGAATACAGGGATCTAGTCATGTGGAAATCATGTCAATAGCTCTCCTAATTAATATTGCTCCTCTCCAACTATTGAGTAGTTGAAACGAAGTCTCTCAAGCCATTTGGATGAAAGAAGTTTCACTGGCGATTTGTGGCCAGTTCTTGTACTAAACTTCTTGTCACTGTCACAAGCATCCCAAAGTGATATAGAGAGTTTCATGTGAACAAACCTGTAAGAGATTATTTTCAATGCACACCATAGACCTCTCCAATGCCCAGGGCTTCTGTAAAATAAAATTTATTTGACAGGTTTATTTCTTTATCAGGTATTTGTTTAACCCCACAATACCAGGAGGGCTAACTTCCAGGAACTGAGCTAGAAGCTTAGATTCCTCTTCCCTGCTAATACTACAGACCAGAAGTTGTTGACCTCAGGGTTTTAGGCTTATTTATGCCTTCCCGTTAGAAATGCCTGCAGAGTTGCAGCATCCTAAGCTACTTTTCATGTAGAGTTGGAGTAGGAAACCTTTTTTTCCTCCCAAGGGCCACATTCAATTCTAGGCAGCCTTCTAGGGGCCACATGCCAGAGGCAAATGTGGACAAAGGAAAGGATGGAGATTCTACTATTGCACAGGAGACTAGTTTCTACACACACACACACACACACACACACACACACACACCCTTCCTCTATCCAGCCATTCAAGAGGCATTGTCAGAACTGAAGAGCACTCTCCAGCCAGGTAAAAACACTCTGAGTCAGAAGTGGGGCAGCTGACTGGCCTGGGAAGAGTTCCAAGAGCCAGATAACAAGGCCTGGAGGGTCACCTTTCCCACCTGTGTCACAGTGGAACTGGAACTGGAAGTTGACTGAAGAGACTTGGTTCAAAATTTTCACCGGGTCATAAAGCTGGTGGCCTTGGGCATCTCTCTCTCAGCCTAACCTACCCCACAGAGTTGTGGGAAGAATTAAAAAGAAAAGACCCACACATGCAGGCAGCATGCCTAGATGATAATATCATTGGACAATACATTTTATCAAATGTTATTAATTAAATTGGGTGAAATCCAGCACTTTCTTTTTCTTCTGCATGGAATGACTTATGGAGCTAAACAACTACTTTTTATTATTTATTTATTGAGGGTCCTTTTGAATTCATTTACCCATCTACTTTCCCCCTCATTCCAAGGGACTCTGAACAGCATAGGGTTAAAGAAACTGCTTCCAATAGGATGCCCGGGTCCACTGGGGACAGGGAACACAAACGCCTTAGTTAAACAGCATTTCTTATTCCACATGCCTTGAGGTTTGCAGTGCTGCTGGCTCATCAAATGCAAATTAATATTTAAATCATAAATCACTGTAATTAAAATTAGATGTATTTACAAACTAGGGATGGGTACTTAATGATTTGGTGTATGATAATAGTAACAGCAGTGTGATAAAACTCTAGCATGGTAACCATATTCCACTGAAAGAGAGGTTGCCTCCTTTATTGTTATTAATCATTTCTGTGTCACTTTATCTCAGCCCGAGGTGCTTTATCATTCTAATCTCGTTTATCCCCTTAACAACCTGTGAGGAAGGTGTGGCTAAGGCAGCCTGGATAACCCAAGGTCAACCAGTTAGTAATGGGAGTGAGCAGGCACCTGAATTCCATTCCCCTTGGCCAAATGCAACACTCTTGGGATCACTTGCTAGACTTGTTTTATTTCCCTTTAAAAAATTAAGAGAAATGTATTTCACTTAAGTAGGTCAATAATATTTTTGCTATCATTGTCCATCCTAAAGTTGACTGCCAACTTATGAATCCCTTTTATCTTAAGGATAGCTTGTGCAGAACTGGAAAGCCATTTAATCCATGGCCATTGCCACAACCCGAATCCTATAAAAACCAATAACATTTCCATGCATGCTAAGAGAGTAGGACTGCAGTCCACAAAGTGGTGATGGGAAATCTGTGACCCTCTGGATGTTGTTGGACTACAACTCCCACCTTCCAGACTAGTGGCCGTAGTAGTTGTGGCAGATGGGAGTGGGAATCCGACAACTTCTGGAGAGCCAAAAGTCCCCCACCCCTGTCAGCTTAAAACTGTGAATGCTTTAAAAAAAGAATAATTAACTACCATTCCTTCTTGATTTTCACAAAGGTATTGAGTACTGGCTCAATATGTTTCACTGCTTAAATCAGAGCCCTGTGTGCTATAGGCAACAACTTAGAGAATCTCACTACACCAGTCAAACACTGGTTCCTGTCACTATCATCTCCCCCAAACTTCCTGCTGCCAAAGCAACGTGCTTCACCTTGCTGCATGGTAGGGACTGACTAAGGCTGAAGAGATTCCCAGAGCCACTGATGAATGGATGGATACCGAGTGTGATTTTCAGGCTCTACAGTTTGAACAGGAGGCTGGCAGATGCATGCTATTTCTAGGAAATTCTTCTGGCACAGTGGCCCACTGCCAAGAACATGCTCTGGCATAATATCTGTCCCTATGTATTAACATACCCCTTTAAAAAGGCTGGTGCTTGGGGCAGTGCCACCACATTTCCTGCCCCAAAGAGGCCCCAAATGGCCCTGGGATGCATGTATGAAATGCTGATGAATATCAACTCAATAAGCCTTCTGAATGATCATCTCATGGCACATCCTTGCCAGAGAGTAAACTGAAACACATTTTCCGACCTAAGGGATCTCCATTAGAATAGTAGAGTTGGAAGGGACCACAAGGGTCCAACCTCCTGCAATGCAGGAATATTTTGCCCAACTTGGGACCCATGACCCTGAGATTAAGAGTCTCATGCTCTGCCAACTGAGCCAGCTACAGGGCTTGTGAGCACCTCTGTAGGAGAGATCGCTGGAGACATGCAGGCCATAATTCTGTTAGTTGCATTTCTTAGTGCAGAAAGTATTGATCTGATGTGCAGAGAACTACTTAATTCAAGAGGGTTCTGGAAGCTTCTCTGTGTGAAACAAGCAGAAGGTTCATGATGTTTGGGTTATATACCTTCAGAGAAGCTGAGTACAGCTGGTTTAAACTGGTTCTGTTATCTGTTTTGTCAAGGTCATGTTGACTATAAAAGTAAGGCCAGAAGAAGCCTGGGTCTCACTTTCTCTTTCATCTCTTTTCCTTCTGGTGTGGTGTTCTGTAAATAGTATGCTTACTGTTAAGGTTTAGACTTATTATAAGTTATTGTAGGTTTAAGTTAAGTCTACTGCAACTGGATTTCTTATGGACAGTGCCAATCCTGAATGCATTGGATTTGTGACCATTATGCTCATTTGCCTTCAGTATCAGTAAAACTCTGCTGGATGAAATACAATTGTCTCTGATCTATTTTTTTCCCCGGTGGCGGGGGGATATCCTGCAATGTGTTTAAGTTTTTACTCTGCTAACTATACATTGGAATCTACTCTGGATCAATACTGAGTAGAATTTCATGACAAATTCCACATAGAGCTAGACCCACTTAAACTTAGTGGCTTGGGCCCAAAGGCTGCATTCTACTCAAGCGGCTTCCAATCATGGAAGGGACCCTTCTGCCCACTGAGAAACCCTTTCAGTTCACAGAAGTATTCTTCCATACAAGGAAGCTTCTTCTGTGAGAAGGATAAATCCAGCTCAAGGAAATAAATGGGCTTCTGTGCATTTAATTCCGTACTGGATTGTGGTCATGGTGTCCAATCTTTGTATTCTTTTGTTGAACGACTTTGGGCAGATCTACACCCTACAGTTAAAGTACATCCAATGTACATTTAAAGAATCCTGGGAACTGCAGTTTGTTAAGGGTGCTGGAAATTGTAGCTCTATAAGGGTGAAACTGCAGTTCCTAGGATTCTTTATGGGGAAGTAATGTGCTGTAAATGTGCCTTGGAAGTACTTTAAATGTATGGTGTGGATTTGGCCCAAGTTAAACAGGCATTAGAAGGTGCAGAACCAGATCATAACAACATCAAGCTATTCCCCCAAATGCTGAAACACAGCTGCAGACTCCTCAAGTGTCCCAATTTAATTGGGACGTCCCAAATTTACAGAAGTTGCCCCAGCTTCTGATCCCAATCCGGGATGTCCCGATTTTCCCAGAGGCCGCTGTAGGCATTGTGGTGTCTCCTGGCACTGCAGGGCATAGGGCAACATTACAGATTCAGTGAAGGTTTCTACATAAGACAACAAAGTACAGGTAAGACAGAAAATAAACTGACACCAGCACCCCATAACAACCCCCACAGGGGCAATTTCTAGGGTGATAAGATCAGTTGCATCATTTGATCAGTTGCTTCATGCAATGCATGTGATTTGAACACTAAAGCTCTATATAAAGGCACAACAATATTACTAGAATAGCAATAATGATGAAGCAACAGTTATCCTGTGCCAATCTGCAAATTAACACCAGAGGCACAGTTTTGTGACCTTTGCTGACCTCTTCTTCAAGCCTGCACAAAGATCTACAGTAAGGCGGTTCCTCTTGTGGGAGTATTTTAGGGAACATACAACAGTTGAATGGGGGAAGTAAAGAGACTGTAAGCGTGGTTGTGCAACAGTAGCCAGAGAGACAGAGAGCTTCAGAAAACTCAAGAGCATTTGGCAGTAATTCAACGAAGATTAAAAACAAAACAAAAAACCGGAAGAAGAATTAGAGGGTGGTTCAGTGAGGGAGTACAGGTATTCCTCTGACTTTAGTTAAATGTTCTCTGAAAACTTCTGGGTGCTTGAGAAGTTGTGCTAGAAGCTGGCAGAGTTAAACAAAACAAAAATTTAACACAGAGCCCTTGGTTTATTTTGTTGTAGGACATTGTATAAATCTTTTTAAAAAAATAAAATGTTTGGGATACCTTCCTTAGTATAAAAATATGAATCTGTGTCAAGAGACATCTGCAGCTATTTTCAGCACCAGTTGCAGGCCACATGTCTGCTGAAATGACTTCTTTTTTGGTATGGGATTCAAAAGCCATAAAATATTTGACTTTGGGGCATAAAAAATGTATTTGTTTCAGATGGTGTTTAGGTGCAGAAGAGGCTTAGCAGGTCTCTGGTTTAGTGCCAGGTAGCAGCTGCATAAAATCTGAAAAATGGTTAGAATGACAAGCATTTTACCATCTGGACTGGGTTGTTGTGGGACAAAGTGTGTCGCTGCAATTCAGGATGGGGCAAAGGGAGCTCAGATGAACAGTGATTTAACCTTTCCCCCTTTCAGTCTTTGATCAGCATTAACCACAAAATGTCAAAACAGTGATATAGTGAGTCTGAAGGTGATTCAGCTCAACCATCTGAAAGGAGTATGCACTACTGTAGTACCTTTCAGTTGTGGGCTGAACTAGCCTCACCTGCTTTTGCAAAAGCTGCCACCTGCCCTGTGCACCTGCTTGCCATGATGGCTGCTACAAGCCGAGTCCCAGCCAGCATAGTCACTTTGATCACTGGCGGAGGAAGAGGAGTGCAGGGGTGAGCGCACCGGCCCTGGCAGCATGATCCCGGTGGGGTGCCATCGTGGCTGCCCCCCTGCCCGTGATGGGCACCACGCCCCCAGGACGCGTGCCAGTCCCACCTGCCTGATCTCCGCCCCCGAGTGCCGGAGCACGAAGCTCTGTCACTGGCTTTGATACCATACATAGACAGACAGCGTGGTGTAGTGCAAGGACCGTCAGACTAGGACCTGGGAAATCAGGGTTCAAATCCCCACTTGGTTCATGAAGCTCATTGGGTGACCTTGGGCCAGTCACTGCTTCTCAGTCTAACCCACCTCATAGGGTTGTTGTGGGGATTTAATGAAGAGGGGGAGAACCATGTATGCCACCCTGAGTTCCTTGGTGAGGAGGTATAAAGGCAGTAAATAAATCAATTATTTGCATTAGTGAAATATGCGAGGGATAGGAGTTGGCAGGATGGGGACCAGCAAAAGATGTGGGGGCTATGGGAGCTGGGAGGGCAAGAGGTGTAAACTCAGGGGGTCAGTTGGAGAGGGATGGTGGCACTGATGTGGCTCACACAGCACCTATTGATAAAGGGTACACACAAGCACGCAAACATACGCACACACTCCTAATAGAACACAGCCTAGTCTGGCTCATTCTGATCAGAGAGTGCTGCAAAGAGAGCAAAGGGAAATGAAATACCTGTAAAACGAGATACAGTATAGGAATAGTAAAATCAATCCAGATGGCTCAAGCAAATGTGTTATGCCACATGCTGAAGGAAGGAGGAAGGAAGGAAGGAAGGAAGGAAGAAACACACAGACTCACAGGCCACAGTGGCCAATGTGATCCGCTGAAGAAACTTTCCTCTCCATTTCAGATAAGGAGTTCAGTGAGTGACAAGAACCTTGGCATGCAAGCCTGATCTCTCTAGCTGACAAGTCACTTTGTATCCGCTTCACCTCTAATACCTTCCCTGCAAATAGATATCACGTTAGTGTGGCATGATCTATTTTTATCATGCTGATTCTATGCTGCACCATTTTCCCTTTGTGGTCTATGCATTTTTAAAAGTTTAAAACGTTAAATCATTAATCATACCTTGGTAATGGTAGCACACGAAGACACCACTGTACATTTGTCTGTAGAATATCAACATTATAAAGTTAACAAAAAGTATCCAGATTTTGTTACCTTTTAAAGGGCTCCAACTTTGGCTTTTCAGGTAAAAGTTTGCCAAGAGCCTGCCATTTTGAAGTATATGTACCTGGTGCCATTGATGCAGGTAATCTCAGCTGCAGTATTGGAACCCCCAAGACTTATTGTCGCAGGAGATGCCAGCGTTCATGGAAATGCCCTAGTCTGGTGTTATTCAGTATTTCAAGGCTCCCATGACAGCCATGACCCTTTGCCAACAGATACCTAGTTCCACATATATGGCAGGTCATACCCTTGATTGATTTGTGTGTTTGTTTGTTTTTTGTATGGGGCGGGCAGGATGAGAATTATCTGGTTGTCCAAACAATTGTAGTCATTCAAACACGTTGGTAGGATTGCAAGAAGCTTTGTAAGGAAAGGTATAAAAATCACTGCAGAGAAGAAGAAGAAAATATGATGCTTTGATGTTTTTGATTTGAAAGCAATGGTTAAGTAGTGAAAATGCATAAATTTTAAATGAAAGATAGAAAATCATAAGGAAGGTTTGAAAGAAGTCATGGCCCTAAAAAGCCAAATTGTATAATATAAGAGAAGAGATTGTAATGGAAAGCATTATTGTAAAATTAATAAAAGTGATATGGCAGGGGGGGAAAGAGAGAGAGAATTATCTGGTTGTCTGGACTGTTGGTTTGATTCCCTTGATGTGATCACTGCAGCTTTCACTGATGAGCCACCTCTGCCAGTGGTGAGAAACCAGTTAGAACTGTTGACTCCCAGAAACTGATAGAATCAAATAGCTTCTTAATGGTGCTAAGAGCAGAGGTGGGTTTAGGGTAGTACAACTGGTACAGAGCCTTGCTGCAGGGGGTGCCACAACAATGCTGTAGAATGGAGCGTGAGAGGCCGGGGAAGGCGGACCGAATTCTAGTGTTGCACAAGTTGCTACTGAAATTTGTGAGCCCAAAGTCCGCCACTGCTAAGAGAATTTCCTACCACCATGACCGACTCTTCTGTCGATGATCTTGTTAGTCTCTGGAAGGCACAGAAGACTTGGACAGCCAACACCATATCTCCTAAATATCTCTCCTTTAGTAGAGTTCAAATGGCTCTCTGGTTTACTATGGAGCTAGAAGTGTACAAGAGGGCCAAGGGTTAGAGTGGTACTGGACAAATGACAGTGGAGGACCAAACACAGACTAGAACGTCTTTGCAATGAAATGGCAGCAAACACTTTCCTCCAACCATCCCATTTGCTCA